CATGTATCATATACGCCCCCAAAATAGAGAGCCTTGAATACTAGAAGAAAGGCACCTACACCTAACAAAATTAAGTGAATACCCAAAATGGTGGTCATTTTATTTCTATCTTTCCATACATAACCGAAAAAGGGAAAAGATTCTTCAAGAGTTTTGGGTCCAAGAAGTGCATGATAAATACCGCCAAAGCCCAAAACTGCAGAAGAAATTAAGTGAAGTACTCTAGATACAAAGTACGGAAAGGTGTCTATAACTTCTCCCCCAGGACCTACCCCCCATCCTAAAGTGGCTAGGTGGGGAAGTAAAATTAATCCTTGTTCATACATGGGCTTTTCGGGTACAAAATGGGCCACTTCAAATAAGTTCATTGCTCCGGCCCAGAATACGATTAATCCGGCATGGGCTACATGAGCTCCCAATAGTTTACTAGATAAATTAATAAGTCGGGCATTCCCGGCCCACCAAGCGAAACCGGTGGTTTCTTGGTCACGACCAGCTAAAGCTAAAGTTCCATTAAAGAGCGTTTCCACGTGGTAGAACCTCCTCAGGGAATATAAGGTTTTCATGAGGCTGATCTTGAGCCGTCATCCAAGCACGAATACCTTCGTTTAAAAGAATATTTTTAGTATAGAAAGTCTCAAATTCTGGATCTTCCGCTGCACAGATTTCCTAGGAAACAAAGTCATAGGCACGTAGGTTCAAAGCTAGACCGACTACTCCAAGAGCACTCATCCATAAACCAGTTACCGGTACAAATAACATAAAGAAATGTAACCAACGTTTATTGGAAAAAGCAACCCCAAAGATTTGTGACCAAAAGCGGTTAGCGGTGACCATTGAATAAGTTTCTTCGGCTTGAGTTGGGTTAAAAGCACGGAATGTATTTGCACCATCACCATCTTCAAATAAAGTATTTTCTACAGTAGCAACATGAATAGCGCATAGCAGAGCCGCGCCAAGTACACCGGCGACTCCCATCATATGAAATGGGTTCAATGTCCAATTATGAAACCCTTGGAAAAAGAGGATGAATCGAAATATAGCCGCTACACCAAAACTAGGCGCAAAGAACCAACCAGATTGACCTAGTGGATAAATTAGGAAGACAGAAACAAAAACAGCAATGGGACCAGAGAATGCGATTGCATTATATGGTCGCAATTGAACAGATCGAGCAAGTTCAAATTGACGTAACATAAAACCTATTAATGCGAAAGCGCCGTGGAGAGCAACAAAAGCCCATAGACCACCTAATTGACACCAACGAGTAAAATCTCCTTGTGCTTCAGGACCCCACAGTAGGAGTAGCAGGAGTAGAAACTGCAGCGGTTAAAAAATTGCAACCTTCTAAATAGGAACTGGCCAATCCATGAGTATACCATGAAGTTACAAAGGTTGTACCTGTGAACCAACCCCCTAAAGCGAAATAGGCACAAGGAAAGAGCAATAGACCAGACCAACCTACAAAAACGAAGCGGTCCCTCCGTAACCAGTCATCCATAATATCAAATAAATCTTTTTCGTCTTTGGTAAATTTACCAAGGGCTATAGTCATAGCGATCCTCCTATTCATCTACTTCAACCATTTCCGAACACCTTAATGTTATATATTTTGATGTTATATATTATGGCATTTTCAGGGCGCTCGAAATTCTATCATTTGTTTATGATTTGATTTCTCGCGCACTGCCCCATAACATGGAACCCTTAGAATTTAATTTAATTGGTTTCGAAGATCAAAATATTTGATTTTATTGGTCCTTACTTAGGTAAACGCATCAACTCAATTTGTTTCTTCCTTGCTATTAGTTTATTAATAAGTATAAGTAGTTGAATCTAAATCATGAATTGTCGGATGATTCATTATTCAGATAAAGAAATCTTTTTTTTTTCTTTTTTGCGGGTATTAAATACTTGTCTATTAAATACTATGGTATCAAGTATCAACTATTGTTATTTTCCTTTTATACCCTTTTTTTAGTTGACGGGTTGAAGCAAAACGGGAACTTTGACTATTTTTTTCTATTTTCTTTTATATCTATATGTACATACCCTTATGTATCTGTAAAAAAGGGGAAAATTTCTTATTTATATTTAATTCAATATTTAAATAAAATTATAGGAAACTGTAAATGAGAGTTTCTTTCTCACATACACTTTCGATCACATTACATTGTCATCTCGTATGCATCAATATGGAAATATTTAATTGATATCTGAAGCCATGATTATGATTCGATTTTTGTTTATTTTTAATACAATTTGATTCTTATACAAAGAGAATGTAGGATCTTGTTATGTTCTCGAATAAAAAATAATATTGAAATGCCCTTTTAGTTATTACTTTGAAATAAGTCTTTCTTTCTCTAGGCAGGAACGCAATATATTTCCTATGAAATATATAGAAACAAGAAGATTCAATAAGAGATATCGACGGATTTCCTAATACAAAAATATGAAATAAAAAACCTACTGTTTCAATTTAATCTCTATCGAATTTGAATATCAGAATAGTGGATATAGTCATGATTCGATGGGTTAGGTCCACTTACTTTTTCTTTTTGATTTGTCGATTTCTAATCTATCGACAAATCAAAAAAAAAGAATATATATTTGGCGATTCAAGAGACGACTTATCATTATTCATTGTATTATAATATAAAAATGTTCAATTTGATTTTTTTAAATTACTCGCTAACTTTATTATTAGTTATTATTAGAATGCAATTTTATTAGAATGAAATTAACAAAATTAGAAATTAAATTATATACTTTCGAATCAAATTTTGACTATTAGAAAGTAAAAAACGTAAAAGCCCCTTATCGGATTTGAACCGATGACTTACGCCTTACCATGGCGTTACTCTACCACTGAGTTAAAAGGGCCGTCTTGGTTTAATTCCCGACTGAGTGGGTAGGTAAATAAAATCTATCTATATATATATATTAAATATATATACAATAGACGCATAGTGGTTAGCAGCTCATTTCGGAACTAGAAATGAGAATTTGAATTTACTTCAAAATTACTTAACGAAGTATTTTTTGCTTTTTTAATATTGGATTTGATAAATATCCATGCAATGAATTTTTTTTTGAAATTGCCTACCGCATCGAAATCGAACGAAATTCATTTGATTTATACATGTACCCAGCAAGTTGACATACACCCAAGATATTTTATCTTGTCATGTGATGAAGAGATACGGATTATCCTTTGAACAATCATTTTCTAAAAAAAAAGCAAATTTTCGATAACTTAACTTATAAATCCACCTTTCTTCCCTAATTAGAAGATGGATTCTGGCTGACTTTCTTGGATTAGTGTTAGACAGGGATACTACTATTTCTTAACAATGAGACGAGGCAATCTATGAAGGAAAGTAAAAAAAAAAACGAAACGTAACCCTCGTTTTTTTTTTTTTTTTTTTATGTTAGACCAATCACTTCTTGAAAAGATTCCGTACTAGACGATTTTTAGATTTTTTTTATTTAATTATTTAATATAATATTTCCACTTCAAATATAAAAAGAAAATATATCGATTTGTTATAGAATTATGGTTAGAATATGAATACAAATGTAAAATAAAAAATGATATAGAATTCTATAGAAAAACGAAAAAACCTTATAAGCTAGTCATACCATTTCATTATATTGACAATTTTAAAAAACTGATCATACTATGATCATAGTATGATGGCGGTTGAGCAAGTATGCCCCCATCGTCTAGTGGTTCAGGACATCTCTCTTTCAAGGAGGCAGCGGGGATTCGACTTCCCCTGGGAGTAGGGTACTACGAAAGGAAGTTGATCATGGATTATCCATAACGTTAGAATAGATTCTTCCTGAATCGATGCCCGAGCGGTTAATGGGGACGGACTGTAAATTCGTTGGCAATATGTCTACGCTGGTTCAAATCCAGCTCGGCCCAATAATTAGTTGTCTACATAACCCTTTTTGTTTTGCATAAATGACAGAGAAGGGTAAGAAAAAAGGTCAAATTTCAGGGTATAGTTCGACTTTACTTTTGTCTTTATTTCTTGTGTTTAGTTACCTTTTTTCCATAAAAAATTCCGATCTTCATCTTGCTAGGGATTCCGATATGGATCCTTTAAATAGAAACTTTAATGAACAGAGTCGAGAAAATAATCTATAAAAATAAAATAGATTATCAATTGATTTGATAATAATGCAAGGATTACCCAGTAATAGGTATAATAATATCTATTATTTAGAGTTTTGTTAGAAATTTAAGTTGAATTTCATGATTTTTTATTTTTTAAAATAAAAATTCAATAATAAGTAAAAATATGTAGTATATTATTCTTAAAACTAATGTTTTACTTTAAATTTTATTTTCTTGTTTACATTTTACATATAGAATTACATAAATTTAGTTTTATTCTACCATGCATTTAAGTTTACTTCCATTCTAAAATTCATTAACACATTTAAAAATTTAAAGTTGTATTATTTTTAATTTTTATCTGTTAAAAGTTGAATTATATTATTAATACTAATAAAAAATTTATAGTATTCTTTTTATTATTTTAACATCTCATATATTTTACATAATTCATTTTTTATTTATTTAATTTTTTATTAATTATAAGTAACATAAATATGCATTAAATGAATATTTTAAATTTATTTTAAAGTAAAATAAATAATATTGCTTATGTGGATGATGATGTGGACACCCTACATGGAGTGACAACTCTCCTATTATATAATATAGATTTGAGTTTTATATTAAAATGTGTGTTAAATGTGTTTTATTTATGGTTTAATTGGAAATAATATTTTTGCCAAGTGGACTAATAATAATAAAGTAAAATCTTACATTTATGTATATAATTTTTTTTTGGTATCATCAAATACAGAAAATTATTATGTATATGATATTAACAATTTTAACAGCTAAACACAAAAATTGTAAACACAAAAATATCTTAAACAGCTAAACAATTTTTGATATCCCATAATTTTTACCCGACCCGGAAACAAAATCCGGGTTTTTTCCTCCGACCCCAATAGATCTGAAATCAAATTATTCCGACTCTTTCTTTCTCTCACTACTCCTTTCGTTTTCCTTCCTCAACTCTGGGCTTGCTTTCGCTCTATGTTTCTTCTACACTGCTAATGGCGAAGAATAATGCGACCGACAACGTTCCTCTTTCGCGATTCGGCGTTCTCGTCGCCCAGCTTGAGTCAATTGTTGCCTCAGCTTCACAGAAAAACCCTGACCCTCTCCTCTGTTTCGAGATCCTTTCTGATCTTATTTCCTCCATCGATGAAGAGCCCAAGGTCCTCTTTCCTTTATCGATCCTTCTTAATACATATCCGTTTCGCTTTAAAATCTCGAATAATGCTCTGTGTCGTCATTTGTGTATTTGTTTGATACTTGGATGTCCTATCTGATTGGTTCTCAACGATCATGTATATCAGGAGTCTTTGTTAGTCACGCAAAGGAAATGCGAAGATGCCTTGTATTCTTTGGTTACTCTTGGTGCTCGAAGACCAGTGCGTCATCTTGCTTCAGTGGCTATGGCTAAAATTATATTAAATGGTGATAGTATTTCGATATACTCTAGAGCTAGCAGTTTACAAGGGTTTCTTTCCGATGGGAAGCGGAGTGATCCTCAGCGAGTTGCAGGTAGGCTCTAATTCAGCAGCTAGTGTTCACTTATATTTTAAATACTGTAGGTTATAGTGATGTTTTGGAATTGAAATTCGTATTGGTCAGCCTTCTAAGCAGAATAAAATTTTCAGTTTTGTTTTGCTGTTTGGTATGAAGTCTATCGAGCACATTTCATAATGTTCATCTATGTGGAAGTTTTTCTTTTATGTTTATTTGGTCTTATGCTCCTAAGTTAATAGATACAATTCTTTTTTAGGTGCTGCCCAATGCTTGGGGGAGCTGTATCGTCATTTTGGGAGGAAAATTACTTCTGGCTTGGTCGAAACAACAGTTATTGTAACAAAATTAGTGAAGTTTAACGAGGTAGTATCTCAGTTCAACTTTATGCTTTAAGTTCTTTCTGTCATGTGGAGAAGTAAATTTGATTGGTTTAATCTACCTCAGTAGATCATGTCTTTTTTATTATTTGCCCTGTTGGACTATTTAGAAAGAGCTATACACTGTGAAAATATCAAATAGGTATTGGGTATGTGGCAGTGAAGGCATTAAAGCTCTGCAACCATTGTTACTGTGTCCTAATATCTATGGTTGATATAATTTGGTGTTAACCAATTTACTATTCCTAGTCTCTGAATCTGCTGTTTCAGTTTTTCCAATCATAAATTTATTTCCACCTAGCTATCATTTTCTAGAATTTTGTGAGGCCATCAAAGAAAAGTGACCTGTATTACTGCAGCTATTAGTTATTGATGTAATTCTGCGTCATTTCCCTTGTTTTCAGGATTTTGTGCGACAAGAAGCCTTTATCTTGCTTCACAATGCTTTGGAAGGCTGCGGTGGTACAGCTGCTGCCACTGCATACTCAGAAGCATACCGTCTCATCACTAGATTTTCCACTTTGGACAAATCGTTCGTCGTGAGAATTGCTGCTGCTCGTTGTTTGAAGGCCTTTTCTAACATTGGAGGACCTGGTCTTGGTACTAGCGAATTTGATACTTTAGCCTCTTACTGTGTCAAGGTCAGTTTGATGTGCTAGCGAAACCTGTATGTTTTTAACTCGCTCTTTTTTCAATTTCTCTGGTGGGCTGATGTCTATCTCTAAATTTATACATGCCGCTGTTAACATAGGGTATTGAAGATTCAGAATCGTCGGTCCGGGATGCATTTGCAGAGGCTTTGGGCTCATTGCTTGCACTAGGAATGCATCCTGAAGCGCATGTAGGCTTATTTTTACTTGTAATTTGCGTCCTTGTCTACATGATTTTGTGGTTATGGAATTTGGTTTTTGTTTGCTAGGTCCAACCTAGAGGTAAAGGTCCATTTCCACCAGCAAAGAAACTGGAAGGTGGTCTGCAGAGGCATCTAATTTTACCCTTCACAAAAGGTAGTGTTATGACTTAGGAGCCATTGGAGACAGAGTTGCAAGCCATTCTGACAATATGATGACATATTATAGTAGCAATCATGTTGTTGCCACACGTTTGATATCTTTTCTATTTAGCCTTTGAAATTGTGACAGAACGTTTATAGTCCCTATAATACGGCCACTGTGTGGAGGCGTGTATAGTAAGAATAAGAAAGCAGTTATAGTGGCTCACATAGTAAAAGCAAAACATACCTGGTTTGTTGTTTTACAATAATTTCATATTGCCGTTAGAAACTAGCTTATGGTTCCAGCCTCTTGAAAAATAGGTTTTTGACAAGATCTCTTTGTGTAAATTTTTGGTTCATTAACTCTTCATACTTGGGATATATATACATTTTTTAAAAAAGTTTGTAGTAGATCTTTTTTTTGTTGTTGTTTATTTATTATTTTTTCTTTTCGTGAAGCCCTAATTTTTGTCTCTGTTAAAAAAAAATACTAAAATCGCAGCGGTTGGATCTCGGGCAAAGAATAAACGATTTGGTTTGGCTCTGTCATGGGTGTTCTTCTTACAGGTAAACAAACGCTGGAAGCTGTAGACTTTTTTTTGTTGTTCTTGAGCGTTGATTAGATTTTGCATTTCAGACTTGACATTGATACATATTACCAATTACATTTTATATGGGCATTGTTAGGAAACCACACCAGTTGTTATCAAGGGTTATATCTGCACATTGCCTATATTGACATATCATAAAAGACCTGCATTTTTTTCTAGTAGTGAATCTATTCGTCGAGTCTTGTGATTATCATGCATAACTGCAATTCAGCACCATGTCCTTGTAAACTTATAAAGTGCGAATTAAATTTTGCAGGCCATTAGGATAAGGTATATGGATTCAGATAGTGAGCTTCAAGAATATTCTTTGCTCATCATGGACATGCTGCAGGGTGACTCCTCAATTGATGCCCATGCACTGGTAAGGCATACTTTTTTTATTTCCTTGCAATTCCAACCTTTTCAGTTTGTCTTGCATAAGTTTTTCTTACATTATTTCTATCAAAATTTCGCCTTGCAACTCTATTTCTATGTTGGGAATAATTCATATCAACTCTCTGCATAGCTTATAAACAAAGATGAGAGATTGCTAACTCTTATGATCACATTTAGTGATGTTCTGCTGGATTAAATTCCGTAATCTATATTCTCACTTTTGAAGGCATGTGTTCTTTACATCCTACGGGTTGGCGTAATTGATCAAATGATGGAACCAAGCCAGAGAAGCTTTTCCGTTTCTCTAGGAAAGCAGGTTTTGCAGTTTAACTGAACCACTCTTTGTCCCTGCAAGTCAGAGCTACATATTCAAATTTTTAATTAATGTTTCTACATCATAATCAAGTAAGTTATGTTCTTTTATTTTCTGAAACTATTGCAGCTCCAGTCTTCAAATGCTAGTTCATCAATGAAAATAGTTGCTTTGCGGGCTTTGTCATACACGTTGAAAACACTGGGAGAGGTGAGGCCTTACTGGCGTAAACTTTTCTGATTAATTTATGTCAGGAAACTTCTGTTTTCTTGAACTCCCTAAAGAAACTTTTAAGCTTGATTTTTATTTGCCTGCCTGCAGGTTCCCCATGAATTCAAGGAATTTTTCGATGATACAGTGGGTGCAGCATTGTCACATTTTTTGGACCTTGTAAGCTTTCACATATATTGTTTGACAGTTGCTAGCAACCCGAGTCCTTTTCATCTCTTTTACTTTTCTTGGCAGCATTTATCGGAGAATTCTATTTCTTTTCAGCATTTAGATATTCTTAATCCTTTCAATCTTCTAGACTCTAATCTTCCTTATCTACGTGTTTCTTGTTTAGTACCAACAATTTCACTGAAAGACATGTTCATTTGAATTTCTTTCTACTACTGGATGTAAAATTGTTTCATCTGCTTTAGAAGCTAGGCAAACAAAATCTTTATGAATAGAAATAGAGGGTTGGATAAGCCGTTATCACAGTAATCTATAGGTAGGTAAACAAAACCTCTATGCATAGAAATAGAGGGTTGGAAGAAGCCGTTATCACAGTATTTTCTAATTGCTTTTCTGATTGTAGCTTGATATATTGAAACAGATTCGGTTTTGTGCATGTGTTTATTAGTTTTGGCTGTCATGCCAACATGAATGTCTGGGTACATTGGGTCAAATGACAACCCAATGGTATTTGTAAATGCATATTTACAAACTTAAACTTGTTTTTTTTCAGGTACGTGTTGAGGCGGCTTTAACTTTACGTGCTTTGGCTGAGGTGGATCCCACCTGCATTGGTGGGTTGACATCTTTTGCTGTAACCACTCTTAATGCTCTAAGGGAAAGTTTACCCTTTGAAAAGGTAATACTATTGCTTTCAATTTATGTCAACTGAGTTGGGTTTTCTTCTTTTAGTATATGATGATATCACGTTTAAATGTCTTTCAGTTTTCTTTTGAGTTTGAAACGTATATTTAATTCCTTTTTCAAAAAAAAAAAAAAAAAAACGTATATTTAACTACACATGCATGCACGGCCTGCTGCATTTGTAATATATATATTTCTACTAAATATTCTGTCAGAAGTAAGCAAAAGATTTCGGGCATTATCTTAGTATTGTATGAGAGGTGTGGCAACAAAAAGAGAAAGTCTATCAGTAATAGTTAAATTGGTGAAATTGAATATCAATATATCATGAAAGACATCATAGTTTCCCTTTATATGCCTTCATCTAAATGAAATTCTCCATCTTTAGGTCTCTATAAATAGACATTCTCTATTGTACGCTGCAGCAACTTCATGATGGGGAAAGACTTAATAATTTGCCATTGCCATTTTCTGTAGGGAGACAAATTGAAAACTGATCTTGCTTCTTTGCATGGGCAAGCAGCAACTTTGGCAGCTCTAGTCTCCATTTCTCCTGGACTCTCTCTTGGTTATCCTGCTAGGTAATAGTCTTCATTACTCCCCATGATCACATCTTATTCACTGTTTCAGCATTCAAACTCAACGTTAATGCTAGTTTCAACAAATTAGTTGTTGGACATTTGATTCTTACATTTAGGCAGAATAATAATTTTTATCTATGTGAGCCAATGAAGAAATCGTCCCACTAATCCTGTAAATTTGCTACCTTTCTCATTGCCTTAGACAACTAGATGAACCTTCAAACTCGTATTACTTTCAATAGTTTCTGGGAGTTTGTCATTTGCTCCTTATCCTAATCAAATTAGTTCATGGCCCTACATACACCTCTTGCGTACCATGAAAAATACAGAGGATATTTTAGTGCTAGCTAGTCAAAGTAGTTCTCAATCTGGCATGACTTTTTTAGAACTGCCAATACAGAACTTCCATTAATCCAGTTGCAATACTTTTCTTGTAATTTTTTGTTCACAGATTGCCAAGGTCGGTGCTTGAAGTTTCAAAGAAGATGCTAACAGAATCAAGGAGAAATATTACAGTTGCCTCAAGTGAAAAGGAAGCTGGATGGTTATTGTTATCATCACTATTAAATTCTATGCCAAAAGAGGTAATATATAATCTTTATGTCTTTAACTTCGGTGTTCGGAGCATGCATTTTCTTATGCAATTCTATTTGATTATATAGGAGTTTGGGGACCAAGATTTTGATATTCTAATCTTGTGGACTGACGTCTTTACTGGAAACCCAGAACACTTGATCAAACAGCAGGCAGACTTAAAATCTATGTTAAGGTAATTGGCCCGTGATGCATTAAGCTTTTATTGAAATGCCAAGGTCTGAATATTCTTGCCGTATGTTGTGTATTTTAGTATAGCTCTTGGAAGCAAACAATGTTTATCTTACATATGACACGTAAACAATCCACACGCTTTTATAATAATACTCGTTTATACTAGTCTACAAACTCTGTCTTAGTTTATTTTGGACACATTAGTGGCTGGTTTGAGAGAGCTGAGTCCTCACTTCTTCCTGATTGCTCCATGTCCAAGAGCAACAAGAGTGATGACTCCACTTTTTTGTTCTTGATAACAAGTAAATGATCAGTATTCTCCTTTTTGTAGTGTGTGGTCCGCCGCAATTGACGCACTCACAGCTTTTATACGACGTTTTGTCTCTTGTAATGATGGTATTCTTCTTCAACCCGTACTTGCTAACCTCCGTAGGTACGACACTACTGATGCTTCCTACAGTTTTTTTTTGTCTTCATGTAATTGCCAGTTTAATAATTTGGCTACGTTCATTTGAGAATAAGTTTCATATCCTTTACCTGTATGATGAGTGAATTGACAGTATCTTATTCCAAACAGCGCTTTGTCTTGTGTATCAACAATGGCCAACAAACGGTTTTCTGATGTCAAAACTTTGGTCGACATACTCATCATAAGATTATTGATAGCTTATCAATCCATCCCAGATCCCTTGGCCTATAAAAGTGAGCATCAGCAAATTGTTCAGCTATGCACAACACCATATAGGTAAAAATATATCATCCCTAACTGCCTGTCTTTCTAAAATCTCTTTATAAATGAATGATAAGGACATGGCTTGATAAATCTCTTTGTTAATCACTGAACTAGTCATTATTTCATGTTTGTTTAATTGAAGGGATCCTTCCGGATTCGAGGAAAGCTCGTGCTTGAAGGCCCTCCTTGACAAAAGAGATGCATGGCTTGGTCCTTGGATTCCTGGCAGGTGCCTATATGTTCATCTGTATTTATTAGTTTGCATTCCCTAAGGAATTTGTCTGCATTTGTTTCCTTGCATATTCTCGATTATGCTGCAGAAACCTAGTTCTCCCCAGGAAGATGTAACTTCGTATGAACTTTTATCCAGGGATTGGTTTGAAGATGAACTTCGCTATTTTCAAGGTGGGGAAGATGGTCTAGCACCAAGTGTATGGGAAAGTAAAGTTTCTAGTTTTCCTCTGGTAAGTGCAATGGCTTTTTGGTGGAATTTGTTTTTAGTGGTTCTGCTGGTTTTTTATTTGCCTACCGACTTGTCTTTGTTATTTATTCTCAACCCTTATGCAAAATTTCTGTAATCATGAAGCCAGAGACTGTGAAAAAGACATTGGTGAATCAGATGGTTCTCTGCTTTGGTATCATGTTTGCTTCTCAGGTTTGTGATTACCATATGTCCTGATAGGTTCTTGTTTTGCTATGACATTTGCTATTTTGATATTCTGAAGTGAATGCAACCTTTTCTTCGCAGGATAGCCAAGGGATGCTCTCACTTCTTTCGGTCATACAACAGTGTATGAAAGCTGGAAAGAAGCAACAATGGCGTACAGCCAGCTTGACTAACATTTGTGCGGGACTTCTTGCTGGTTTAAAGGTGCTCCCAATACTTGTATACAAGTTTTGTGCGTTTTAACAAACCGTCGTGAAAAAATTGGTCAAGATAGCCGTATGGTAAAAGTACAACCATGTTCTGGTGTCTCCCTCGTGTAGGAGTGTACCGAGGGCTGAACTCAGGTGGTGCTGGAAAGCTATAAAATATACATATAACATGACATTATATAAAGGATCATACACATTTTTGGTCTATATATAGAGTCAATAAGTTTTCATTAAAAAGTGAACCAATCACTATTCTCTGAGTATGGAACGGTTGTGCTACCATGCCTATGCAATGTAGAGACTACTGTGCTGAATAAATAATCTGTATCTTAGTTCAGAGCATTTGCTTGTTGTTAAATGAACATCATATGGTTCTGTTACATTAAGAACTTCATGTTTAATTTATTTCTTACAGGCTTTGCATGCACTACGTCCTCAGCAACTAACGACGGAAGTATTAAGCTCAGGGCAAGCCATTTTTCAGGTATGTTATGTCATTAAGGATGCTAGTTCAGAATTATAAACCTAATCTCAAAATTGATTCACTTGTTTTCGTATATATAACTTTTTGATGTTTCTGTTGCTACAGAATATTTTAACAGAGGGAGACATTTGTGCGTCGCAACGCAGGGCAGCATGTGAGGGTCTAGGTCTTCTAGCTCGTCTTGGAAATGATATCTTTACAGCGAGAATGGTCTGTCCACAATGCAATTCTCTACATAAAATCTTTTGTGACCCTATCTTTATGCTCCTTAAAATTGGATGCTTATAGACTCTACTTTAGTGTATACCATGTCTCTGCTTTGCTTTGTTCACTTGTTTCATAAATGTGAAAATTTTCATTGCCGATTTTTTTGGTCTAAATGCTCTTTTTTTTTTTATCTATAGTGATAGGACGTATGACGATACATTTCCTTTGTTTCTCACATATGTTTTCGCTTGGTGATAAATAGACCAGAGTGCTTCTTGGCGACCTAAGTGGAATAACAGATCCAAACTATGGTGGATCAATTGCTCTTGCACTTGGCTGCATTCATCACAGGTGCAGTTGGCTTCTAACTTGTTTGATATGTTGTGAATATCAATTAAATTGAAAAGTAGGTTAATATATGACTGGTTGTGATGCTTTAACAACAGTTAAGTTCAAATATTATTCATCTTCGCAGATACGTATTATTTTACATATTGAAAGCTACTCTGACATGTTGATCTGTTATATTTTGAATTTATTTTGTACATGGTGTGCAGTGCAGGAGGAATGGCTTTGTCGTCCTTAGTACCTGCTACTGTTAGTTCAGTCTCATCTCTGGCCAAAACTTCTGTTCTTGGTCTTAAGATCTGGGCCTTGCATGGGCTTCTTTTAACCATTGAAGCTGCTGGTTTATCATTCGTATCTCATGTTCAGGTAAACAATTTCGTAGTTCATTAAGATCTGTGAATGCATAGTTTTCATATTTTGCTTTTCCGTTTTAAAAGATCTCATTTTGGTGTCCGGGCGCATCGATATAATTGGCTAAATGAGTGACTTGGTTATCAACTGAATCTGTTAATGCTTGACACAGAGAGAAATTCTGTGGTGCAGTTCAATAGCTGCTCCTTTTAAGATGTTTAAAAAAGTTTGTCATTCTTATACTAGGTACATGATTATAATTGCTAACTATTGAGAGGACTTCATTTTCCCAGCCTGATTTGATATCTCCATCCATTGTGTCATGTTATCATTCTCATTCTGTATTCATTATTAGGCAGCATTAGGACTTGCCTTGGACATTTTATTGACTGAAGAAAGTGGATGGATCGATCTTTCTCAAGGCATTGGACGCCTTATTAACGCTATTGTTGCGGTCCTTGGCCCTGAGCTTTCTCCTGGCAGCATTCTGTTTTCACGCTGCAAGGTACTATTCTGTACCTTCCAACCTTGTCTTTGAGAAAAAGAAGATGGATGCATTTGTATGTAAGGGAAATTGGTTTTCTCAATAGTTTGAAATTTAATATATCCCAAAACTCCCAACCTTGCATTTCAGTAAATTATGCATCCTATGTCTGGCCTTGTTGGATAAGTAAAGGAAGATGCATGCATTTGTATGTAAGGCAATCTGTTTTGCTCATTCTAAATAAATTTTTTTGTAGTCTGTTATTGCAGAGATTAGTTCTTGGCAAGAAATTCCAACACTACTCGAGTATGTGAATGCTTCTCTCTTTGCCACCATTATGTTAATCCATTGTTGCTACTATATTAATTATCTCTATCCTGTATCAAGCTTAATTGTTACTGTACATCTAAACATTTTCAGGAGCGTCTGTTTTACCCAGCAGCTTATTCTTTTTGCTCCACAAGCAGTTTCAGTACATTTACATGTAAAAAATCTTTTAATGACGCTGGCATCAAGACAGGTTTTTCTTTTTTGCTATCTCTTCTTTTCATCGGTAAGTCTTTAAGGGCTTCCCCTGATGAAAACTAGTTATATTTTTTGTAAAACAGCCAATAATTAGGCGTCTATCTGTGTCAACTCTTCGGCATCTGATCGAGAAAGACCCGGTAAACAGCATGCTTTGATCCAAATTTTTAATTCCAGAATCATCATGTCTTGGAATTAATCTCACTCTCGGAATTTATCGCATTCTTGTGTGTATTAGGTTTCTGTCATTGACGAACAGATAGAGGATAACTTATTTCAGATGTTGGATGAAGAAACTGATTCTGAGTAAGAAATTGTTCTTTCAGTAAATGTTGTCGTCTTATGGAATGTTTTGTTCTTATATAAGGTGTTGATTAACTTGCTTTATTGATGGTTTAGAAATGTTGTGCTCTTGTAGGATTGGGAACCTGATCCGTAGTACCTTGATACGCCTGCTTTATGCAACATGCCCATCACGCCCATCTCGATGGATGTCAATATGCCGCAACATGGTAATAGCAAAGAGTTTTTCATACTAATTTCTTGGTTTTCTATGGACTTTTCATTGCTGCAGTATGAACTATCTGAAATGGGACCATTACAATTTATTTGTTTTCTCATGATTGTTGCCATTTTGTTCAAAATGTTACTGTCAGTTTTGAATTTTCATGTGCTATTTATATCCAGGTCCGCCTTCGTATTCCCATAATCAATGGAAGTTTATTTTTTACTCTGCTGACAGGCCCTTGCAGCATCCGCTGGAAGGAGTGCTGAAACGAGCATTGCAGAGAATGATCCTGCTAACACAAGAGAGAACCTTGGCGATGATGATGAAGACATGGTTTCTAGCTCTAGTGGGAAATCTATACGTCCCAATCCTGATAAAGACAAAACCTTGAGATATCGAACCAGAGTTTTTGCAGCTGAGTAAGTGGGAGATGTTTCTTTGTTCTTACCCTACCTCTCTAGTGAATACCGTTGACATCAATATTTCCAACTAATGCTCTGGTGACCATAACTAAAATTTGATGGAAAATAAAATTTCAACTGATATTTCAAAATTGTATGTTGATGCAGAACCAAATTTTCACAAGTTCTTGAAGGGTTTCAGCATTGAGCCAATATTAAATGAAATCTGAACGTTTAGTTAAACTGCATAAGAGTTTATATCTGTTCATGTTCTAAATTATATCCTTTTTAGCTAAATTAGCCCAATTGATTTTCAACTGCAGGTGTTTGAGTCTTTTGCCAGAGGCTGTAGGCAATGATGCTGCTCATTTTGATATCTTATTGGCAAGGAAACTTGCTTCTGGTAGACAAAGCTCAGGTGACTGGTTAGTCCTTCAACTACAAGAGCTGATATCTCTTGCTTATCAGGTAAACAAAAGGAATTACTTTGTAAAGAACCATTTCAAGTGTTCTGAAAAATGCCCTGACGGAATTTTGACAAGATCTATCAAATTATTCAGATAAGCACTATTCAGTTTGAAAACATGAGGCCAATTGGAGTTGGACTTCTTAGTACTATTCTTGAGAAGGTGAGACTATCTGGTAGTGGAAGATTTCTGAGTTGTAGTTATATGTGGTTCCCAACACTTTTCTATATTTCTTTATTTCTTCTTTCAGAAGTTGTCTGTTTGATTATTATTGCACTCTCCTTGTTGATCTGGTGTCGTTTTACAGTAAAAAATAATTTATAATTGTCTGATACTGGTGCAGTTTAAATTAGTAGCCGACCCTGAACTTCCTGGACATCTTCTTCTGGAACAGTATCAGGTGCTCCCCTTCAAATTACTTCTCAACGTACAAAGACTAATTTAAAAATTTTGATGAACATAATAGTTACTGACTATTTTCACACTTAGGCTCAACTTGTGTCTGCTGTTCGTACTGCCTTGGATGCAAATTCTGGCCCTGTTCTTCTGGAAGCTGGGTTACAATTGGCCACAAAGGTGAGCGTGACATCTGTCGTAGTTCTTCCTTCAGATTTTGGGCCATTATGTTACTAAATTAATGTGTTTAATTCCAGATAATGACCAGTGGAATAATAAGCAGTGATCAAATTGCAGTCAAACGCATATTTTCTCTACTTTCACGTCCACTCAATGACTTCACCGAATTATATTATCCTTCGTTTGCTGAATGGGTCACAAGCAAGGTGCATAAGCAACAAAAGGTTTTATTTTCTAATTTTATTTGGCTTTCACTGAGTAGATTTATTCTTGCAACGTAGATCAAGATCAGACTTCTTGCTGCACATGCCTCCCTTAAGTGTTATATATTTACATTCTTGAGAAAACACCATGGTGACGTGCCAGTAGAATTTGAAGCACTATTGCCATTGTTTTCCAAGAGCTCAGATCTGCTTGGGAGGTACTGGATTCAGGTCCTAAGTGGCTACAGTTATGTTTGCTTATGTCAGAACCTCAAAAGAAGTGTGAGTCAACACTTAATAGTTCTGTTTTCTCTCTTTAGCTGAACACATCTATCCTTGTGCTCCCTATTTTCTAATAAGACCTTTGACTTGCTGCAGCAGTGCTCATTCTTAGACGAAATCCCGCCACATACTGTGTCTAGAAGGCTACAGCCTTGTCTGGAAGAGGCATGGCCTGTCATCCTGCAAGCCTTAGTCCTCGATGCAATTCCTGTGAATCATAGTGTGGAAGAATTTTCTGATAGGTCCTTAATATCTAGACATCGCATGGTTACACTAGAGGTTGAAGATTATCAGTTTCTATGGGGCTTTGCTGTACTTGTCTTATTTCAGGGGATGCATCCAGCCTCTAATATGCAAGTAATACCTTTTAGCTCAGCTAAAATCAAATGCAGTGGAGACTCTGGCATCAATGAATCTTCGTTCCAGGGCCTAAAGATATATGAAATTGCATTACCAGTTTTCCAATCTCTTTCTGCTGGAAGATTTTTTTCCAGTGGCTTTCTTAGCATAGATCTCTGCCAAGAACTGTTGCAGGTAGGTCCACTTCAAATATTTTATTTCGTTTGAAATTCTTCTCATGCCATTCTATTTTAGTTCTTATTATCATCAGCTACTAAACAGATTTAATATTGGTTTAAGCAACCACATGCTTCCTCTTTGAAACACATTATACCTTGTGCTGTGTAGATCTACTCCACCCCACATTTTTCTAATTTAATTCATTTTCCTTTTGTAACTCATCCAGGTTTTCTCGTATTCCTTTCATATGGACAGTTCATGGGATATTCTTGCAGTATCAGTAGTACAACAGGTACACGACTTGTTGATGTTATTGAACCGTAAAGCATCATTTTTGGCTTGCATTTACTCACTTTTCTTAAGATAGGAAATGAGGTTCAAGAATGTTTGTTTATATGTATTCTTTCTCTGTTCTCTTATAACCTTTATTTAGTTGGAACAAAGACATACTATTCCCTTGTAGGAGAAATTATCAGTCACCCTTTTTTTCTGTTAATCTGCCATAGGCATATCAACAGATTTTATATACTTCATGGTCATAATACCACTGTTTGATGAATTTCCTCGTAACACGGATTCCTGATTAATTTCCAGGAGTATATATGCCTTACGCGTTAGAAAAGATATGAGTTCTGATGAAGTTTATTTTTTACGTTTAACAGATTTCACAAAACTGTCCAAAAGATTTTCTTGAAAGTGAGCAATTTGCCTATTCGACCATTGAACTCTGCCTGGGGTACCTGTTCAAAATTCTCCACAGGTGTGAACTTTACCAGGAGATGTTTGGAAGCTGTGTTCAGTTCTGTTTATTTTGAACCTGAGAAATCATGTAGAGAGAAATATACTGCGTTACATCTGGAAACGTTAACAAAAATTCCTTCTTTTATGTTTCAGACATAATGAAAGTTCGACAGATGATGACATTTGGGATAATATGCTCTCTCCTTTATTTATCTCCATAAAGACACTAGTGACACGTTTTGAGTTGAAGGTAATATATAAACTTTGAGGGATTTTGGCTTTATTTGTTGCATTTGTCGATTTCTGTTATATTTGTTGCACTCTTTACATCTAACTGATGATTGTTGGTAAGATGCAGCATCGTTTAAATTCGGCGCCTTTGGCATTTTTATTAAGTGGCTACAAGTGCATCCGGCAAGTCCCTACTGACGCATACCTACCCAAAGCTCTTGAGATTGTGAAGTCCACCAATGAGTTATTGCATGAGCTTACCAGACCCTCATCACAAAAACCTTCTACTGGTATGAGAATTGAATCCACAACTAACGTGATAATATGATAAGTGAAGGCCGCTGTCATTTTATCCTAAAATGACAAGAGTTTGTGTAGAATGAACAGATAGTAAGTTTGTTTAGTGTTGGAGCTAGGTTAATTTTTTGTCTACTAGGCTGATTAAGGGTGGTTATCAGATGGTCAAAGTTCTGTGAGAGGTTAGATTCTTTTTGATGGTACATTCAATATAGATCTTGTATGCTTTCTGTCTGTTTTATGTGAGCCCCGAAGTTGCAAATGCAGTATTATGAAGTTGATTTGCTGCAACTGAAAGAGTTTGCTTCCTTATTGGGACATTGGAAAGTCTGTTGAAGTTGTTTAATCAAACTGTTTTTATTGCAGATGGCACTAATTTTGCTGCCGATAGTAGCGTCCATCTAAGAGCAATTTTTGGTGCTTGTCTGCATATGGTTGGTGATCTGACTAAAGATTGTATCAACGGTATCCGTCTTGTGGACAACAAAAGATCAGGATTACGCAAGCTTCTTCAGTTAAAGCTTGTATTCTGTCTGGAACAACTCTTTTCACTGGCTAAGCTTTCCTACGAGTTTGACTGTCCAGGAGATGAAATTGATACCAACTCTACCTGTATTGCCATGTTGAAGAGTTGCCAAATTAGTATAGCGGCAGTAATTAAAGATTCCAATGTTCAGGTATCTGAGACTTCTTGTCATATGCTAGTTTAACTATTAATTATCGAGCTCTTAACAGTATAAGTTCATAAATCTGTAGGTTCAAGCTACTGTCTTACAAGTGCTAAAAAGCTTGGTACAGCGATACAACAACCCAGAGGAGAAAAGTTTTGTCATCTTCTTTGTCGGCGAACTTATTGAAGATATTGTCAGTCTGATGCAGAGGGCGCTTCTGGTTGTTTTCTCATTTCTTCTTTCCAAATTCACAGAATTTACATTTTAAAAGAAAAATAGCAATTTTGACGTCGTTTTAGATTTGAAAACTATAATAACTGACTTCTTTCTTCTTTTTTGGATAGAAACCTATGAATAAGGAATCGGTGGTCATAGCCGGTGAATGCTTGCGGTTCATAATGCTACTTCAGACACACTCAATTACTGATGAACTTCAGAGGGGATTCATGAGCCTTTTTCTTGAAGTGGTTCTTGTGGTTTTCTCTAAGACTTCAGATGGCGTTTCTCAGGTTCCATTCCTTTTCCGACCTGTAAATTCTATATTAGATATTTTGCTGCTCCCTCTTAAGGCTTAAATGTCTTTTTTTTTTTATGGATAATACCAGGAAGTCCTCGAGTTAAGAAATGTAGCTGTGCGGCTTGTTTCCCATCTAGCTCAGTTGCCTTCCTCGGCTGTTCACTTTAAGGATGTTTTGCTGTCGCTTCCAGCAACACACCGGCAGCAGCTTCAGGTTCTTAAATGCATTCGATTTGATTTACTTGCCTGTAAACAGTGTCTTCGAAAGTTCTAATGGATCTCAAATCCCCTATCCTTTTAATCAACATAACTTTTTCTTTATATTCCTCAAATGTGTTGTGGGTAAGCATTTTGCATGAAAAAAAAAAAAGAACTATCTAATTGGTTTCCTTGTTCTTCTGATGTTAGGATATTATCCGTGCTTCCGTCTCTAAAGATAGTGCCCTTCCGAAGCCAAAATCCTTGGTTCCACCCATGGATATCAAACTACCAGCACCTGTGGTAGCAACACCTGAAAAAGTTACATCTACTGCTAATATGGTTAAAGCAGAAGCATTGTCCACTGTGCCAATATCATTCAATCAGATCAACACAGTAGAAAGTGAAATTGACGAAGAAAATGATGAAGAAGAAGATGATGATGATGATGATGATGACTGGGACACTTTCCAGTCTTTTCCTGCTTCCACAAATCTTGAAGGGTCAGAGTCTAAGACAGAAAGTGTTGCTGAAGAGGAGCCAGATCTTCCTGGGAGTTCTTCTATACAGGAGGATGAATCAAATGAAACAAATAATTCACTACTTGCAGAAGAAGCTGATGATCAACATTTTGCATCCGACAATGCGACAGACACCACAAGAGAAGATTCGAATGACAAAAGCAAAGAGGTTGATGAGGAGACAGTAGAGCCATATTTCACCACAAGTGAAGACTCGGTTGACAAAAGCAAAGAGGTTGAAGAGGAAACAGTAGATCCGTGTCGCATAGAAGAAGCTCTTACAAGCCAGAATGACAAAACCTCATCTGATGACCATCCTGTTGAAAGTAAGAATTTGGAATCTGAAAATATTGGAACTGATATCAAACTTACTTCAACTGAGGTAGATTCACCAGCCCTAGATGATACATCAGATGATCTTGAACCGCATCAGATTCAAAAGTTAACCGAGGATGAATCTAGCAAGGAACATGTTGGAGCTGATGTTATTGTAACGGGACACACAATGGCTGAAAATAAGAGCGAAGAGGATTAATGAAACACTGGATGGACGATATAAATTTTACTGTAAACTTGTTATGATTCATTTGTGTTTGTCTTTATGCGTCATTTCAATTGCTGGTTTGGGGATAAAACTTGAAATTGGTTTATACATTGTTTGGTTTTTCTATTGCTTTCTTGTGAAAAAAAGTTGGGTGTTCCGTTAATGAGACTGTTAGAAGTGTTGATGACTGAAGAGAGGAGTTCAATTTGTCTGATTGCATGGACCAAGTTTTGGGGCTATACGGGGGTCGACTAGTTGGGCCTTCTTCAAGCCGATTGTTCAAGATTTCTTGGTGTTTCGAGAGGAGTTCGACCAATCTCCCTCTCGTTTTCCCCCACAGAAAACTAATATACTGTAAAGTCAAAAACCTTTTTCAGGTTTCTACAGATACCACACCCAAACCAGCTTACCTGAGACACATGTTTCTCGTCCCGAGCAAGAAAGTTGTTCCAAATTTGGCTCACAAGAACATTCCTATTGACTAATCTAAAGGCACCAGAGACCATCTAATTGTAGGTTAAACTTTAAGAGATTTGTATTCATATCTCTCTCTCTCTCTCTCTCTCTCTCTCTCTCTCTGTCCCGTAAGCAAACTAATACAGCGATCATGAATAGAGGAGAAACCTCAGATTCCATCCCAACTGATCTCATTCTCGACATACTCTCGAGATTGCCTTCAAAGTCCATCGCGAGGTTTCGCTGCGTTTCGAAGCTATGGTCGTCCATGCTTGCCAGTCAAGCTTTCACCAGGTTGTTCGTTACCAGGTCCTCATCTAATCCACGTCTCTTAATTGGGGTCGAACAAGACGGTGAGTGGAGATTCTACTCGTCGCCTCAGCCTAAGAATCCATATGACAAGTCATCTCTTGTAGTAGCCGCCGATTTTCATATGAAGTTTTCTGAAGGAACCCGATCTTACGGTTGTAGCTATGCTTTTGGTTTGATCTATTTTCGTACTATGTGGATCTCAAAGGAGGGTAACGATCAAGTGGGTGTGATATGTAACCCTAGCACAGGACAATATGCGATCCTACCACCTGAACCGTCCAGAAGCTGCCGTGGCATTTTAGGGTTTGATCCGATATGCAAGCAATTCAAGGTTTTGGTCTTAAACAATCCTGACATTCAGCATATTCTGACATTAGGAACTAAAAATGTGAGGTGGAGGAGTATGCAACGTTCCTTAAGGTATGTTCCTCGTGAGCAAAGGCCGATATGCATTAATGGGGTTTTGTATTACATAGCTTACGACTTGCAGGACAGCTCGTATGATGTGATAGGTTGCTTTCATGTTAGGTTTGAGAAATTCAAGTTTTTACATGTAAATTATGATATGATAGACTCTTTTTGTGTATTAGTAAACTATAAGGGCAAATTAGGTGGGATTTATTGGGAGTATGCTGATGATGGTGGATTTCCTCTTGAGTTATCTATGTGGGTTCTAGAGGATCTTGAGAAAAATGAATGGTCGGAATATGCCTACACTTTGAAGGCTGATAATAGCGTCGTTAAGGTTAACTACAATCTTTCTGTTGTTGGGGTGACTGCTAGAGGTGAAATTGTTTTGGCCAAGCAGTATGCATGTAAACCGTTTTATGTTTTCTACTTTAATCCCGAAAGGAACACTCTCCTAAGTGTTGAAATCCAAGGTGTTGGAGAAGACCATAGAGTCTGCGTCTTTGTTGACCATGTGGAGGATCTTCATCAGTTTGATAATATGAAGACATCTATAAGCCTACCACAACAGAAGCTTAAACCCACAAGCACATCAACATCAACATCATCTAAAAACAATCATCAAGTGATGACGTCGATATTATCTAGAAAATATCATCAAGCGAGGACATCAACATCATCTAGAAAAAATCATCAACTGAGGACTGTTTCTCACCCGCAACAAGATCGGTGTACAAGTAACAAATTTAGTGCTCTGTGTCTTTTAGATGATGATGAATTTTCAGGTGTCTAAACCTGATTGCTTCCCTTGCTCCTATGCAACTCTGCTCCAACTATGAAGAACAAGCAACCGACAGTTCGTATGCAGAACAAATATGAATTATTTGCTAGCCTAGAGTGAGGACATGTGTCGATTTGTTGTTGGCTAATCTGATCTTGGAAGCCAACTTAAATTCATGTATAAAATACTAGCTACTCTGGCTGGGCCTGGGAGTGTGACTTCTCATATACAGGTTTTGTGTGGGTTTTTACTTTTTATCATATGGTTGCTTAGCATTTTGTTCTTTCTGGAGTTGGGAGCAAACTAATGATTTATCTTACAAAATGCTTAAAAGTTCTTTTAAGACATCTAAAAGTATTCTTGTTTGCTTTAAATTTGCTTTTACGAAATTAATTAAAAGTTATTTTCACGTTTAATAAGGAATTGAATTTTTCTTTCACCATTTGACAAAGTCAAGTTGGGCTTTCACCATTTAACAATTTGTGTTTTTTCGGACCAAAATGCCCCTAACCATAAACTATTATCATTTAGTTACGTTTGTACTTTTTTTTTTTTTGTTTCATTATAAGTGAGAAAAAAAAAATTATTGAAAGAAACAGAAAGAGTAAAAGAATTCAAAAATCTCAACTTTTTCATCTTCAAAAATCTCAGTGATAATCGTTTTCTTAAGATCTGAATAGTCTCTCATTCATCTTCGATTCAGAGTTTTTGAGTCGAGGAGGTGGAAATAAATTTCATATTTCCGGCGACGAGCCAAATGCAACAAATTTCTGGAGACTCAACTTTACCTTTTCAAACTTAAAATATGCTAGATTTACAAGATTTATAAGTAAAAAAGCATTCAAAACGTAAAGAAAACAAGATTATGAGATAACTGTTAACGATGGCAAAAAAATTAGGGTTGCAGAAAAATATACTCAGGTTGAAGATGACTGAAAAATTACAGTTATACCCTTTATAGAATTTCTTCTCTGTACGTATATGCAATTTACGGTGTACGTACACGAAAGTTTCTTAGTGGAACGTATATGGTATAATATGGGAAAACGGTCTATTTCCCCACGAGAAGTATCACATCACGACAGATAGAGCCCAATCTATGACTACGTGCTAGATATCCCCGAAATAATAGTTTTCAATCTATAACCCCCCGAATCCATAGTTCGAAATCTATATCTCTCCAAAATAATAGTTTTCATCTAATTATCCATAAATTTTGATTTTACTCGGTTTACTGTTTTCTTAACCAACTAACAAAGATATTTAACCGGATTAAACCTAAGCTAAACCAATTACAACCCAATTACAACTAATTGCCCGACCCAAGAAAAACACCCAACCCAACGTTCTCTCTCACCCACCTACTGTATTTCTCCCTGTTCTAAAAATCCCCGCCTACCCCCGATTACTCTCCGCTTAATCGCTAGGCCCACCCTATCCGCCTCGATTAATGACTAATCCCCTAAAAAATCAGTAACCCGATTATTCTCCGCCTAATCCGATTACTTCCCGCCTAATCCGATTATTTTCCACCTAATCTTATATATCCCGATTATTTTTTAGATTGCAAGTATAAAAAAACCTTTTATTTTTGTTATTCAATCATTTGAATGGGGAGTTTGTGATGTTTTACAATAACTTGTGTTCAAATTTTAATAAAAATCATAAATTTGTAATAAAAATCATAAATTTTTACAATATTGGATTAATATATTTTTAAAATATTAAAATAACCCTAAAACTAATCCCCGATTAATCCCCGATTTTAATCCGATTTTCTGATTAATCGCTAGGCCCATGCCGAGCGCCCGACTAGTGCCTAGCGATTTTTCAAACAAGGGTATTTCTTCGTTTTCTTCTTGTTATGTAGCTTTTATCTAATTCCAAATCAAATCATCAAACGATTTAATATTAAAACTATTTTTTTTATATCTCTATGTCTATCTATGGGATCACAACTATCAGTTTCTCCAATGCATTAATTGAACTTTACCCGACTCCATGGTTAAGAAGAAGAGGAAGAAGAAGAAGAGGAAGAAGAAGAAGACAATTGGACAGTTGTTGGTTCCAAATGTTTCCTTCTGTATCAAAGATACTGTTGTTGTTGGTTTTGGTAGTAGGACACCGAAATTGCAGGACGTGTTTTAATTTCAATGTGAAATTTGATTGATTTTACACTTTCTTAGATCAAAATCTTCATAAAATGAATTTCTTCACCTCTTTCTTTGTATGTTTTTTTGAGAAGCTTCATCGTTTCACTGTACACTAGACACAAGTTTGAACATTCGAATTGTGTATGGAAGGAGGAGCAAGAACGATGATGAACATGGGAGATTTTAGGGTTTTTAGATTTGAGAATTTGGGGATTTTTAAGAAAATTTGGGGATTTAGATCGGGTCGGGTTTAAAATGTCAATTGGGTTTTAAATTTGGTTTCATATCGGGTTTAAGTGGTTTTATATCGGTTTAGTTCATAAACCGATTAAATCCAGATTTATGGAAAAATAGCTTTCGAACTATGAATTTGGGGGATTATAGGTTGAAAACTATTATTTCGGGGATATCTAGCACGTGGTCATAGATTAGGCTCTATCTGTCGATGTGATACTTCTCGTGGGGAAATAGACCGTTTTTCCGTATAATATTAAAGTGGTTGTAATAAATCTCTAACAACCCTCTTCAAAAAAAATTAAAAATTATAGGATTTGACTCCAAAATTAAGCCATTTTGTTACTTCTTCATATATCTCAATAAAATACATGCATATATAATAATTAAAAAAATATATAGTCAAAGAATATTTGTTCTTCATATTTCTGAAAAACTTATGTACGTACACGTGTAATAATGAACGTACACCTTTGTCGATAAATTAGATTTGTTAAGATAAATTTATTGATAAAATAATAAACCAATATTGGCGATGGCGGGGATGTATTCTATGACGCTCCTACTAGATATGATGCCATTGTTATTTGATTTTTTTTTTCTAAATACACTCCCAACATACAATGTCTCTCTTGTCGTACTAATTTATATTTTTGTCTCATCAACTCGGGCATTTACTAAATCATCGAAGACTAGAGCAAAATCCACACAATTACCATTCACTTTACATATATCATGCCAATTTGCATTTGTGTACGTCAAACATTTACCGTCAGATACTTTCTCGTGTACATAGTTAGTAATGTACGTACATTCTTCCAAAAATCATGTCTTACCTCCTGGTTATGACTCACAAATGGTTGAATGTCATCATTTTTCCAAAATGATCGACATTTTATCAATTACGTACATGTTAATTAGTATACGTACACATTTCTAATAATCAATTGAATTTTTCATGTTAGCCTCATAGTAAGTTGAGTGTCATCAACATTTCTGACATGTCTTATCCCATATTTCTCAACACCAAAATCAGTCCACTCGTTGTAATGTAGTCTTCGGCACTACCACTACCGTATACGTAACAAATTTATCTTCGCATCATGTGTCTCGTACACATTCTCTAGTGTACGTACATTGGAGCAATCCATGTTGACATGTCCGGGTTGAATTCATAGTTAGCTGAGTGTCACCCAAATTCGCACTGGTTTCTCATGTACGTACACGTTGACTTGTGGTCGTACACTCTGTCAATATACGACTGTATTCCTCTGCCGGTTCCAGTCGGTGGAATGTCACAGACGTCCTCCTCAACATGGCCAACTCCATATTCTTCTACAATCAAATCATTCCACTTGTTGAAATCGTAATCTTCATCCTCCTCCTCATCTTCTTCATCCTCATCTGTTTTATCGTCTTCAATGTCGTCTTGCTCATCTACGGCCTCATTATTTCCATCTACATTTGAAGCCGCTACGATGGGATTTGGTGTCATTGCACTCCCACACACACGGTAACTCTCACCATCGTCACCATCGGTCCTAGGGACAGTATTCCCGAGTTTCTTGACGGTTGTAATGAAAGAGACAAACAAGGTGACACTAGGATCCCCACCACGAATCAAAAAGAAGGTATCCAGGCTCATTTGATTGTCAATGTAGACAGGAGGACGTTTACTTTCTATCATCACTGACATCTTTCCCGGCATCCAGTAACTAATTATTGGATTGCGTTCGGTAGACTTCAAACTGAAAACCTCGCATAATGTAAGTACAAATTCCGTGTACGTCATGTTTTCCTTAACACGTACACAACGACCAAACCAGCCTTCCCATGGTTCAAATTTTCATTCTTCTTCTTTGCATCTCCACTCACCCACCATAGTAAATACGGGAATATCCATTACCTACTTGCATCATAAATTCAGCAGAACCCCATTAAATGCAAATGAAAGCATGATTATATCTACAAAAAACAAAAAGAATTCCCAACTACACACTTATATACATAAATCTATCCTCATTCAGCATTTTCAACTAAAAAAATTGGAAATAAAAATATTCTGGGTTTTTATATAAAAACAATGTTGATTTCGAACACAATCAAGACCCTAGTGTGTTATAACAAAAAACTTCTTAACCAATTTCATTACTTACAAGATCAATGCTTGTCTTGGCTCCAAACTTTGTAAATCAAGAAGATCAAAACTTCTCCAGCATCACATTCATTCAGAATAATTTGTTTGTTTGATGGATTATGTTTATCTCTTACAACTCCTTCAGCAAATAGCTCAGCTAGTCCATCAACATGTTTGATGTCCGCATCATACGATCTCTCCAAACAGTTACATCCTAAAAATGCCTAAATCACATAAGTCTTATACTATGTACGTACACAAAAATATTTATTGGAGCGTACATGGTACAACATTAATTTAATTTTTTGACATCAAAATTAAGTTATTATGTCAGTTATTTGTATGACTGTATTTTTTTCATATGTTGTTCATACATGATTTGAATGTTTTGTTTTTATAGTCAAAAAATATTTGAAACGTAAATATACAAATTATTTAGATATTTACGTACATATATACACACACATTACTACCGTGTACGTACACATTATTACCGTGTACGTATATATTATTACCGTTACGCACATATGTGTATATGATATTGCTAATCGTGAATAGTCTTCGATAATAATAAATAAAATATTATTTAAAATAGAAATAAAAATATGAAAATGGGTCTGATAGAAAAAAAAAGAATTTTAACTAAAAATATAAAAACAATAAATATTTATAAAATGGAAAAGCGAATCATCTACTGACAAGTGTTTAAGATTTTCAAACCACACACGGCTCTGTGTCACGTTAAAACATACTCTTCCTCAATGTTTTTCTTTAGTTGTGAGGTTTGTTTCTACTGCTTCTCGTATTTGACATATGATTATGTAAATTGCGTAACAGAGCTGGAGTTTTGTGAGTCTCATTAGAGTCAATTTGTGTGTTGATCATAGTTGATTTCAATTATTTACTGAAAACAAATTATTAATATTTTTTTAATTGAGTTCGTAGAAAACTTGTATGAAATTGGTAAGATATTTTTGGTAGAAATATGTCCTTATTTGAGTTTTTTTCTATTTACGTGTATGTAGTTTACGGTATACACAGTATTGATTATAAAATGGATATGTACTTCAGTTATATCATGTACTATTGTGGAGACGGTGTACGTAATATTTATAGAGTTTGTATTTTAGTTTTCCGACTTCAAAATATGCTAATATAAACTAGATTTACAAAATCAATAAATAAATTAAATGTAAAAAAACAAAAGATTATAAGAAAATTGTGAACAGTCAATCGCATAACTGAACCGCATAACTGAACCGTGTACAGTGTACGTAACTGAACCGTACAGTGAACAGTACATCGCATAACTGAACTGCATAACTAAACCGGAACAGTGTACATAACTGAACCGCATAACTGAACCGTACAGTGAACAGTACATCGGTACGCTGGCAGGGGTAAAATGGTCAGATTTTGGCTAAATTGTCAAAACTTGAAAGCCCATTCTCACTTTGCCAAAACATGAAATTAAAACTTGGTCAACTGCCATAACATGCAATTTACCCATTAATTAATTACCTGTAGGAACAAAAGAAACAAAAAGCCTCTTAAGAAAAAATGTTTCAAGCTAGCAAAAACATGTTTCATTACTTTTTCTTCTTTGACTTGTGCACCTCTTGTTTCTTGCTCTGCACTTGCAATTTCGTTTTCTTCTTCTCAGCTTTTTCAATTTCCTTTTTGGCACCAAGCAAATATTGCTCTGTCATCTGCTTCATCTCATCCACAAAACTTTCTCAAAATCATGCAACGTAACACACCTCTTACAAATCCAGTCACACTTCTTTTCAAATTCTCTATGGCCCTGCTTCTTTCTCTCCTTTTCAAAATCCGCACCTACAAATTAGATTAACTTTTTGATTTATTAAATATTTATGATATTATTTAAAATATCAAATTAAACTATTTTAAAATGTTTCAAATGAAAATATTATAAATTTTACTGTACTATATAAAATTATACATTTTAAAAAAGAAATATATGAAATTGAATATAAATATTTAAATTCTGACACGTTACTCAGTCAGAATTTTTATTAAAATTTATTTTTGTTTAAAAGAAATTTATCATCCAAGTTTGAATTTTTGACTTGTTATATTGTTTTCTTCATAGATTTAATCATTTATATTCGTTTTTAAAAATCCAATCATGACATAAGCTAAAAAAATCTACTCATTTTTATTATATGGATGATATAATGATTTATATGTTTCACAAAAATAGAATCATATAAAGATGAGAAGTGAAGTACAATGATTAATAACAAATTAATATGGTAAGTTAGATATCAAATCTTATTTGTTCATTTTGATTGGTCATTCTTTTTAAAAAATTAATTATATATATTTTTTTATAATAAAATTAAATTAAATAAATTGCATAAATTAGTGATTGACTTGTTTCTCCTTAATGAGATGAATAAATTTACTCTTTGAAATTTTATCTCTAATGGTATTCCTTTGCAATATCTTACTATGCAATGTTATTTTTAATGTACTTCCAATAGTATAGGATTTGGGCATTTTAGTTTTTTTTTTTTTATTTCTTTTGAACAAAGAGATCTTTTTAGTTTTAATTGTACTTTTTTACATATATACACAACACAAAATATCAATTTTAACCATCCAAAGTGTTGAACTGTCTTGGACCATTACCAATTGAGAATGGTGATGTCTGTTTGGCAGTCGCAGAGACCTCCTGCGACTAATCGCGCGATCAATCGCTGCGACTTGCGACTGATTTTTTTTATTGCTGGAAAAATTAGCGATGCGACTTTTTAAATAGCGATTAGTCGCAGCGACCAGTCGCGCGATTTCTAAACGAACAACATACTGCGATTCAAAATCGCAGTCGCAGTCGCAATCGCCATGCGATTATGAAACGAACATGACTAATATATATTATATGAGATGAGATATATTGTCCTACGCCACTTCAAATAACTTGACTTCCCTTGAAAATAAACAAGTTTCTTGTTCTTACAACTTGTAATCTAGTAGTTATTTGTGTCAGTGTCGTCGTTATGTCACTATCTAAATTTAAATACGGGTATATAAAAAAAAAACACTACTCTTTCATATGTTAAAACATAGTTTTAATAACCAAAATTTAACTCGAATTACTAGACAACACCTTTGCATCGCATATTAGGCTTTGGTTATCGAAAATTCATAAAACCGAAACGCTGCGTTTTTTTTTGGGGGGGCAAAATAGAAAGGAACAAAACAAAATGATTAGGTTTACAATATTGGGTAAATGAAAGGGTTCATTTTATAATTTTTGTTTTTCTTCAATACCCTCTAAACCCAAACCGACTGCAACAAAAAGGCGCTTTGCTTAAAACCTTAAACCTGCTACGCCGCGTTCTCTTCTTCGTCCTTGATAGGGTTTAGTTCTCTAAAACGTAAGATTTCTTCTAAAGGTACTTCCTTTCCTACTCTTGTGTCGATTTCAAGTTTCATCTTCTTTGGAGTATTTGAGCGTAGAGTCGATTAAAACTAATTTTTCCCATTCTTTTGTTTTTGTGTGTGTCGGAATTGATAGCCGTTTCTATAGAAACCCTAATTTCAGTCTCTGGTTTCATCTATCAACAGGTTCGATGGCTATTGATGGGAGTTTCAACCTGAAACTTGCCTTGGAGACGTTTTCTGAACGTTGTCCCAAAGTCGCAGCTTTTCCATTTTTCAGTTCGATTCTCAGCAAGGTAAAGTCTTGTAATTTTGACCTAGAATTATGGGTTTGAGTTTGTTTTGAACATTTTTTTGTCTTTATGGCTGCTGGGTTTTGTTTAGGGAGGAGAGGTTGTTGAAAACGAAGAGGTGATTCATGCTTTAGGGGATGTGTTTCTTCACCCGGAGTATACTATTCCGTTGGTTCATTGCTTCCTTCCTGTTATAAGAAGTGTTGTAGATAGAGTTGTGGGTCTTCTTCAGCTAGTGGATGATCTTAAGTCAAGTATTGACTACTCAGACGATGTGTCATCAGTTTTGGATAATGCTATGAAGGAAGGTATTAGTGTGATTGATTTTTATGTTCGGCGTGGACAAAAGTTGGAGCTTCATGAGTGTGCTTGCTTGGCCTTCAGTCGTGCGCTTCATTTGAATACGTCTTTGTTAGGGTAAGATGACTATTTACTTTGTTACCGAAGCTAGAAAGAATATGCAAGATGATATCAGTCGTGTTAACCAGCAATAAAGCTAAGAAGTGAATTTGAACCAGCAATAATGCTAGGATGTCTGATAAGAAGTTAATTTGGTTTAATTGAAACAGCTTGACTAGTCTCCTAACAGAAGCTTCCTTAATTTTGTAGGTCTATTCTAAATTACTTTAAGGTGGCTCCACCACCGTACCAGCGAATTCTTGTGAAAGAAATAGTTTCTGAGTCGCTCATGGAGGTATGCTTGTTATCTTTGACGTTTATTTGTGTCAGAGCATTATATGAAGATTATTCTTATACACTTCCTAGTCTTTGGCCAGTGACATTGATTTTTTTTCCCTGAATCAGGCTACAGATGCGTACTTGCTTTGTCTTCGAGTATCATATCGTTTTCTCGTTATTAGACCTGAGGTTTTCTCTAAGTTGTGGGATTGGTCTTGTTACTTGGACTCTATGAAAAGGCTTTCAGAATATTCTAGACAAAAAAGGCATTTCTTGGAAAAGCATCGTGATGCTGTGTGGTGTGGTATTCAAATTCTTTCTGTTGTTTTGAGATGCAGTGACAGGTTAGCAGGATGTTTTGGTTTTGAAGTTGAAGAAGCACTTTCGTGCTTGCTAAGGTAATCCATTTTTAGCTATACTCAAGACTATTAATTGACTTTTCGTCTGAAGTTTTGTTTCTAAGGGTTTAATTTCTTTGATACATACAGATGGGAGGAATTTTGTCAGGATATAGAAATAGAAAAGGCTGGATCATACATTCAATTGCCTACATACACAGCGTTGAAGTCTTTGCAACAATTTAATACCCTTGTGCCTGGAATTAACAAGCGACAATCAGAAGAGTTAGAAACAAATGAGCCACATATGAAGATTCGGAGGCTGGACACATGGTCGGTTCTCTTTGTGTTTCTTTTCAAATAAATTTCACCACTTATGCCACTTTTGCTTAATGAGAATTTGCTCTTATTCGTGTTGAATTCCACATTCCTCTTCAATTCAGGAATGTCAAATCTCTCTCTGAACCATTTGAAATCCACTCTAGGGTGAGGAAATCTTTTGAAATGGTCTCATTGGCTGTCAGTCAAAAGCGACCTGTTCTTCTATATGGTCCCTCGGGCTCTGGAAAATCTGCCCTCATTAGGAAGTTGGCTGATGAAAGTGGTAACCATGGTATGTTATAATTTTAATATCTACGTATATTGGTCTCAAATAATTTTGTAGTTGTCTAGGTTCAAGAGACTTTCTACTTTACTGGAAGGAAAAATAACTATCTTTAGATATTTCTGTGCATACTAAACACATTGAGTATTTCCACTGCTAAAATGAAGGCCTACTAAATTATTTCTAATTATATTTTGTTTTCTCTATGCTTCCCTTTTGATTTGATAGTTGTATTTATCCACATGGATGATCAACTTGATGGGAAAACGTTAGTTGGCACTTATGTGTGTACTGATCAACCTGGCGAATTCAGATGGCAGCCTGGCTCACTTACCCAGGTTTGTGGAATTAAAATTCAGATGGCAGCCTATTTTTTGTATCTATCCGCCCTCCTACTATTGCATCAATATTTTTTGTTTTTTCCGTCTTGGCAGGCGATTATGAATGGTTTCTGGGTGGTTCTTGAGGACATAGACAAAGCTCCATCAGATGTTCCCCTCGTCTTGTCACCTTTGCTGGGAGGGCCTTGCTCATTCGTGACCAGTCAAGGAGAGGTATACACTCTCTTTTTGCTGCTCTGTTACCTATCCTATACTGAAAAACATTGTAGTGCCCACACCTTTTGAATAAATCTGTTTTAGGTACTTGTATTGTTTCCTTTAGAGATTTATTCAAGTTTCTGAGATTCTTAACTTTTACTCTGCTTGCAGGAGATACGGATAGCGGAGACATTCCAGCTGTTTTCAACTATATCGACACCCGAATGCAGTGTGTCACACATCAGGGACGGTATGTCTTGCGGACACTGATTAGGTTGAATGGTATTGTAGTTGTATAAGCTTGAAACCTGCAACTTTAGGGAGTTCATTTCCTGAAGCATAAAACCAAATTCCAGTGGGATTAGAGGCTCAATAAACGACTGTGATAATAGATATTCATGCTGGCTATTGGTCCCAGTTAAAAATGCTGATATAGTGTTTGATTAGCATGGCCATTGTGCAAATAACCACCCTAGCTCAAAGTGCATGATAGATTAAAATCCAATTTTATTGATGTTTGCAACACTAAAGCTCTTATGAGGTCTAATAACTATCTGTATTATTTACGTGGCATTCGAGCTGAGGAAACCCATCTTTTACTTGCTGCAAATTATGTTCAGTTCAATAAAACCTTATTATATTTATGTCTGGTTTTCTTGGATGTAGCTGGAAATTCGTTGAGTCCTCTATGGAGGAGAATTGTTGTATATCCACCAGATCGTGAAAGCTTGCTAAGTATCCTGAGTGCTCGGTATCAAAACCTGGGTCCTGTTGCAGAGAAGCTTATTGGTAAGTCCCTCTTGCACATACACCCCTTTACATGTTATCTGTACTAACAGTGAAACTTTTCCATCTTTGCAGAAACATTTGAAACCATCAACTCTGCTCTTCGTCCCCAATTTTCTGGTTCAACAACTGAAAACTCAGCTACTTTCAGTTCTCCAAGTAGATTTTCACTGAGGTAGGGATATATCTATGAATGAGAGTTCTTGTTATTAATGGATTTGTCATTCTATTCTTTCTGAATGGTCATCATTTCTAGAGATCTGCTCAAGTGGTGTGAACGGGTTCATGGCCTGTCCTCCTATGATGGTCATGCAATTTATCAGGAGGTCTCTTTCTTTAAAAATTGCTTGGATTACTCTCTTATTCTAATATTTCTTTATTTAATTTGGCGTTTTGTGCCATTTCCTCAGGCAGCAGATATATTCTCTGCGTCTAATATGTCAACTAAAAACCGAGTGACAGTAAGTAACATTGTGGCTAGCATTTGGAATGTCGCCGTTCCAGAATCTCAGCATAAGCCCCCAATTCAGGTATCTTAGTATCCTTGACAGTGTTTTAGTTTGGTGCTTTAAGATTTTTTTTTCTAAATATTCATCGAACTGCAGGAATTTTCTGGGATTCTAAAAATTGGTAGAGTTTCTCTTCCACTTGGTGAAACTGCGGTTAGTTTATAAGCACTCCCTTCTTTTTCATACAATTATTCATCCATTAAAGCCTCTTGTTGATCTGCTTCTTTTTTTCAGTCACATGATCGATCTAGGTTTGTTGAAACATGCACATCTACACGATTACTTGAGAAAATAGCTCGCTCTGTCGAGTACAATGAGCCAGTTCTCTTAGTAGGAGAAACAGGGACTGGGAAAACAACACTAGTTCAAAATCTTGCACACTGGATCGGACGGAAACTCACTGTTTTGGTATATGTTTTGACATACATTCGTGTAGTGACGTAGTTATCGTAGTGGTTCTCTATAATTTCTAATATACTTTTGTGCAGAATTTGAGCCAGCAAAGTGATATAGTTGATCTATTGGGAGGTTTTAAGCCTATTGATGCAAAGCTTATGTGCACAATGCTGTACAATGAATTCAATGAATTGGCAAAAAATTGGAAGATGAAGGTAGCTTTACATTTTAAAACTTAGTCACTCATGGATTTACTCCTACACTCATTCCTAACCAGATATGTTATGTAATGAATTTAGCATGTTGCTCGGGTAATGAGTCCTCTTCATTTTTGGTATCCAGGGTGATTCAGAGACTATGAAATGGCTGCAAAGACATTTTAGAGCCAAGAATTGGGATAATATTTTGACTGGGTTAGTGCAAACTACAAAAAGCATTGAAGGTAAAATTATTGAACGCATTGAAGGTAAAATTGGGGAAGCAACGTCTAGATCTGGTAGAAAGAGGAAGAATTCAGAAGAGCTCAAAAACTGGGCGCGTCTGTCGAAGAAAGTGGAGAAGATACAACAACAGATTCGTTCAGGTGGAATGGTTTTTACCTTTGTTGAAGGTGCGTTTGTGACTGCCCTCAGGGAGGGGCATTGGGTTTTACTAGATGAAGTGAACTTAGCCCCACCGGAGATATTGGGCAGGCTGATTGGTGTTCTTGAAGGAGTGAGAGGATCACTTTGTTTAGCTGAGAGAGGGGATGTAATGAGCATTCCCAGACATTTGAATTTCCGTCTGTTTGCTTGTATGAATCCAGCCACAGATGCTGGTAAGCGAGACTTGCCATTCTCCTTCCAAAGCAGATTTACAGAGTATGCTGTTGATGATGACTTATGTGATGATGACCTGGAGATATTCGTGAGGCGATTTTTAGGTGGACGTGGATCTGACAGTAAGTTAGTAGGCAACATTGTTTGCTTTTACAAAGAAGCTAAAAGGTTATCTGAAGAAAGCTTGCAGGATGGTGCTAATCAGAAGCCACAGTATAGCTTAAGGTCTCTTTACCGTGCGCTAGAATATGCGATAAAAGCAGAAGCTATTGGTGGATTTCAGAAAGCATTATACGATGGATTTTCCATGTTTTTCCTCTCCTTATTGGATGCTTCCAGTGCTAAGATCATGGAACCAATAATAAAACGTATCTCCGGGGAAAATATCCGAAACCAACCACTTCAAAGATACTTGGGAGAATTAAAAGGCAGTTCTGATAAATTTGTTGGCAGTTATGTTAAGACGAAGAGTGTAACTGAACATCTTAATCATTTGGCGCATGCCATTTTTATTAAAAGATATCCTGTTCTCTTACAAGGACCAACATCCAGTGGAAAAACAAGCCTTGTCAAATATCTTGCAGCAATAAGTGGAAACAAATTTGTTCGAATCAATAATCATGAGCAGACTGATATCCAAGAATATTTAGGTTCCTATATGACTGATTCTTCAGGGAAGCTTGTATTTCACGAAGGAGCGTTGGTGAAGGCTGTCAGGGGTGGGCACTGGATTGTCTTAGATGAACTTAATTTGGCTCCATCTGATGTCTTAGAGGCACTAAACAGACTGCTTGATGACAATAGGGAGCTTTTTGTGCCTGAGCTGTGTGAAACAATCTCAGCGCATCCTAATTTTATGCTCTTCGCTACACAGAACCCTCCTACTTTATATGGTGGACGCAAAATACTGTCTCGAGCTTTTCGCAATCGGTTTGTGGAGATTCATGTTGATGAAATTCCAGAAGATGAACTGAGTGAAATTCTTACCACGAAGTGTAGTATTGCTAACAGTCATGCTTCAAAAATGGTTGAAGTGATGAAAGACCTGCAACGCAATAGGCAGAGTAGCAAAGCTTTTGCTGGAAAACATGGTTATATAACTCCAAGAGATTTATTCCGGTGGGCATATCGTTTCAGGACTTATGACGGTACATCTAAGGAAGAACTAGCCAGAGAAGGGTATTACATCCTTGCAGAAAGGCTGCGTGATGACACTGAGAAGGTAGTTGTTCAAGAAGTGCTGGAGAGACATTTCCGTGTCAGTCTTGCCAAAGATGATTTGTACAAAATGGTAAGTTATGTTATCTAGTTTGAAACGTTTATTAAAACTATTTTCAGATAATTGATGTAACAGCATGTCATGCATCTAGCTAATGTGTCTTTTCTTCTTGGAACTAGTTCATTTTTAGGTTTCCTGAAATTAGTTTATATTGTAGGTCTTTTAACTTTATATATCCATAGCAAGGAGCTGTGTGTCATACAGTGAAAATTGCTTGTTGTTGATCTGTTGTTTACCACTGTTGGTCGTACTGCATTATTATTAAGTTTTACTATTACTGCATCATTACAAAGTTGCTATTTCTTATACTATTCTGATATAAGTAATGGTTTTATGTTCTTTTTTTGCTTTTGTTTTCTTACCCCAGGAGCTTCCAAGGCTGGATTCCATGTAAATGCCTTTCCCCTTCTAATTCTCTATTATTGAATTATTTTCTTCGAGCTTGTTTGTTTTTATCTTTAACAGTCTTGGCTAAATTTTATGGTGCTATTATTTTCAATTTTTATATAGACAAAACAGAAAATTCACCTGGACTCAAAGTATGAGGAGACTATTTTTTCTCATCGACCGTTCTTATAAACTACGTGAGCCTGTTCTTCTTGTTGGTGACACTGGAGGAGGCAAAACCACAATCTGCCAAATACTAAGCGAAGTTAAGAAGAAAAGATTGCACATCCTTAACTGTCATCAATACACCGAAACATCTGATTTCCTTGGTGTAAGCTTATCTTTTTTTCATCTTATATATTCCAAACTCCAATGCTACACTGTTACTTCTTTCATTTACAATTTCTAATGTCAGCCTCTTTCTTAGGGATTCTTTCCTGTGAGAGACAGATCAAAATTAGTCACGGAATACGAGAATCAAGTCAAACAGTTGGAGCTCTGCCAGGCATTGGCGCCTTTTGGCCAAGATATTGTTAGTATCCCAATACCCACAATATGTTGGTATTCCACCCGTCTTTCTTTCAATGTGGATGCTATATTTTGTTGAACATGTCATGTGCAGGTTATTTGTGCAGATATCAGTAGAGCTGAAGAGTTGATCAAATCAATAGAGGTAGCTCTGGAGAAGTACAAAAATGATTCAGTTATAGGACCGGCCATCACACCACAGGATGTTGATGTTCTTGATAAAATAAGGAACAATATGGTGATGCTGTATCAAAAGTGGCGTGCAATTTTTGTTTGGCAAGATGGGCCCCTTGTGGAAGCGATGAGAGCTGGAAATATCGTTCTTGTGGATGAGATATCTTTGGCTGATGACAGTGTATTAGAAAGAATGAATAGTGTGTTGGAGACAGACAGGAAATTGGTGAGTATTAGTTCACTGCTATTAGGTCTTGATCATGTCATTAAAGCTACCCTGCCTTCATGTTCATCATTTAGCCATTCCTTATCATTTTCATAATTTCTCCATGCTGGTTTTCATTTTCTTTGTTGAGTTTTTATATCTGTTTAATTGCCCTCTTGTATGTTATTGTTTCCACTTTATCTTTGTAGTCCTTAGCTGAGAAAGGTGGCCCCGTCTTGGAGGAAGTTGTAGCTCATGAAGACTTTTTTGTTCTAGCCACCATGAACCCGGGTGGTGATTATGGAAAGAAGGAATTGTCACCTGCGCTTCGTAATCGTTTTACTGAAATATGGGTCCCTCCTATTACAGATACTGAGGAGCTCAGAAGTATTGCCTTTTCTGGGTATGTGGTCTCCCTGAAATGCTCAGAAGGATACTTGTCAATATCTTGTTGCTAATTCCTAATTTTCTTGTTTTGTAGCCTTTCCAGTTCGAAGGAATCTAATATTGTAGATCCCATTATCAACTTCTGGGAGGTAGTTTCCCTTTCCTATTACTCTTAATCTTATTTCCTTCTCAAATTTTGTAACCCTGAAAGTAATACATGCTTTGAGGTTGATAATATAGAAGCTTGAATATGCCCTTAGAATTTTATAGTGTCTCCACAGTGTTGTTTACCAACATGAACACGACCACACATCTCAAGGTTTTGTGCTGTTGGAAAACAATTTGATTGCTTTACTTTTTAGTGTATCGTTTTTAATCTTGTCTCCATACCATCTCTTTCTTTTCCATGCTCTCTCGTCAGGCACAAACTGTTTCTGAGCGTTATAATTAGAATCATGATCATGTCAATGATACATGATACTTTATAATTATACGGTATTATATGTTTTGTGCATCAATAGATTCAATGCAGTATTCTTTGCTGCAGTGGTTCAACAGGTTGCAGACTGGGAGAACGCTTACTGTCAGAGATCTCCTCTCCTGGGTTGCGTTTGTCAACATGATAAATGAGAGTTTAGGACCAGCATATGCTATTCTTCATGGATCATTTCTCGTGTTACTTGACGGTCTAAGTCTTGGTAGGTTTTTCCGAATTCTAAATATTCTGTATAGGTTTGAAGTTTGATTGCTATACTCACTTATTCAATTCTTATTCTTCCCTTCTGTAACCAAGTTTTATCTGCACTGGGGAGCTTTCTATTTATTTGATTGCATTCTTGTATGAACAATCTGGCATTTGAACTTGTCGATGTCCAAAAACATCGTAATAAGATTAGTCATGTATATCTGTGGCTGGGTGTTTCACTGTAGCTTAGGCTATAGTGATTCCCTCACATCCCTATGAAAAAATGCTCTTTGCCTGGTGTCCATTAAAACATATTCGTTAGTTTTTCTAGCTGCTTCTTGGATTGATTGCTTTTTTAGATGCTTTTGTCATCTACAGTTTTACATTTTTTTGACAGGTCTGTCTTTGACTTAATGATATAAGTACACTAGAATATGTCAAACATCTAAAAGATTGAATAGGTCTACCTAGATTGTTTGTGATATAAACTCATGCAAATGATGAGAACACTATGTACGACCTGTGTTATGTCTTGTTTTTGTCATATTAATTGTTGAATTTGGGTATTTGAATATAATGGAATTCCATCTTCACTAGCTGAATCTACAACTTGTGTTATGTAGTTTCTGTCGTTGGATTTACTGAGTTTAGGGTATTCAACTTAATTGGTATCTCATCTTCATTACCCAGCATGTATGATTGATTCACTTTTCTTTTTATGTTTTATAAGGAACTGGTTTCTCTGGGAGGGATGGTCAAGATCTGAGAGAAAAATGCTTCGCTTTCCTATTACAACAACTTAAGGTAATTTGAATCTTGGTACTACAATGATCTCTTTATTTTAGTTTTTTTTTGTCAACACAAACTCGCCAAGTTTTCTCTAGTGGGTTATGTTGAATTCTGTGTTTTGGTTATTCTAGGATTCAACATGTCTAGCCCTGTGTTTAAAGTACTACTCTTTTAAACTCTCAGAGGTTTTGTTTTATTATCTTCCATATGTTTTTTAAATGGTGAGAGCTAGGAATTCTCTTTTTCCACATCAGCGTAAAAAGAAATCTAGTAAATCAGTTTGGTTTTGCTATAGAACAAAAACGTTTCCGTAGCATCTTTAAATTCTTAAACCGTGTGACTTATATCGTGTTTAGTCCTTCAACACATAGTGATGCTCGTTGTTCGACTACAAATGTCTCATCATGTCGCATCCATCTGAGTATCTGACTTTTCTGGTTCAGCTTTTTGCTAGCGATACACTCCCGTTGGAGCTTTCAAGAATGGAGCTATATAGCTGGGGTGATAACAAAACAATTTGTGAAGAAAGTAAGAGTGTTCGACATGAGGGCATATTTGGCATCGATCCTTTTTTTATAAGCAAAGGTGAGCTGCTCATGTTTTTTTCTGCAAAGGATATGTTTATATTGTCAGAGTATAGCAACCATGATTATAGACATTTATGATATTTTGTTTGGAACGTACAACCTGCCTGGTCAGGTGATGAAAATCCTGAGATTGGTGGATTCGAGTTTTTAGCACCAACCACCCACAGGAATGTCTTGAGAGTATTGCGTGCAATGCAGCTTTCAAAACCAAGTATGTCTCATTAATTTTGGTTATCATGGTAGTTTTTGGAGATTGATGTCGGCTTTAATATTGGAGTATTTTACTGTTGCAGTTTTATTAGAAGGTAGCCCTGGTGTTGGAAAAACAAGTCTGATATTGGCGTTGGGAAAATATTCTGGCCACAAGGTCGTGCGCATAAATCTATCGGAGCAGGTTCGATTTCGATACCAGGCCTCAATACTGTGTATGCTACTTCGTCTGATGGGTACTATAACTTTGGTTTTTCTGATGCAGACTGACATGATGGATTTGCTGGGATCAGATTTACCTGTCGAAAGCGATGAGGACATGAAGTTTGCGTGGTCTGATGGAATTCTCTTGCAGGTTAAAGATTGTTTTATGTTAAAGTATGTATCAATTTAAAAATTGCAGACCCTCAGTTATGCAATTTCTACAGGCTCTAAAAGAAGGCTCGTGGGTTTTGTTAGATGAACTGAACCTTGCCCCACAATCTGTTCTAGAGGTGAGCCAACAAGCCACTAATTTAATTTCAGTAAAACTTTTCTTGCGCTAGAACATGTTGAATTCTGTTGCCTTTCCACATATTATTCTGGTGAAGGTGATTAAGAATTTATATCTTTCCAGGGTTTGAATGCAATTTTGGATCATCGTGCTCAAGTCTTCATACCAGAACTGGGCTGTACCTTTGAATGCCCACCAACATTTAGAGTTTTTGCATGTCAGAATCCTTCTGCTCAAGGTGGTGGCAGGAAAGGTCTTCCCAAGTCTTTCCTTAACCGATTCACGAAAGTATGTTCCACTATTCGTTTTCTGGTCATGGATGCTCATGACATGTCAAATTTTCATTATAATTCCAAATGAAATTTCATCTGTTGCCTCAAATGTTTCCAGGTTTATGTGGACGAGTTAGTGGAAGATGATTACCTCTTCATCTGTCGCTCGCTTTACCCATCTGTTCCTAGTTCATTGCTTTCAAAGCTTATTGCTCTCAACAGACAGTTGCATGATGGTACTATGTTATATCGAAAGTTTGGTCAAGATGGCTCACCATGGGAATTCAATTTACGGGATGTGATCAGATCATGCCAGTTTATGCAAGGTAGTAGCTAGAGTCATTTAAATTTTTCGTATTACATTTTTTCCAGGTGACAATTGCCTAGACTAATTTGAGTTCTCGTTCGTTTCAGAGGCAATACATGACTTAGAAGTTGAAAGCTTTTTAAATGTTCTGTACGTTCAAAGAATGCGTACTGCAACTGACCGTAAAGAAGTTCTGAGTATCTATAAGGCTATTTTTGATAAAAACCCGTCTATAAATCCGTATCCTCGGGTTCAGCTAAATCCTGGGTACTTAGTTGTTGGAACTGCTGCCATTAAACGAAATTTGACTCAGTCTCATATTGTGAGTGAGCAGTTGAAGATTTTGCCTGAAATCCGTCAAAATCTGGAAGCTGTTGCACATTGTGTGCAGAATAAATGGTTGTGCATCCTAGTCGGACCATCGTCATCTGGAAAGACTTCGGTGATCAGAATATTGGCTCAGTTAACAGGATATCCTCTTAATGAATTAAATCTTTCGTCTGCAACTGACAGCTCTGATCTACTCGGATGCTTTGAGCAGTACAATGCCTTCCGTAATTTCAGATTGGTGATTACTCGAGTTGAGCACCTTGTCGTTGAGTATAACACTCTGCTATCACAGTCTTCCCAGGAGGCCCTTTTGAGCAATAGGAGTGGCTTAGTTTCCAGTTGGCTTTCCGATTTTAATAAGATTGAATCTTCTCTCTTGGAGAACCCTTTATTCTTCTTGAAAGACTCTGTAACACTCTCTAAATTAGAAAAGGTTGTAAAAATTCTGAAACAGGTCTTGGAAGAAGGTGTTTTACACGTTAGTTGGTCAAAAAAGTATCTGGAACAAATCCTGAAGACTATATTGCAGCTGCAAACTCATGGGAAAAAGCAGTCTACAAAGTTTGAATGGGTGACAGGGATGCTGATAAAGGCAATAGAAGAGGGAGAGTGGGTTGTCCTCAAAAATGCTAATCTCTGTAATCCCACGGTAATGTTATAATCTCCCTTTTTACTTTCCTGTACTGGTTACATTACTTTTGCGTTAAACCATGTGTGTTTTCATGGGTGCATGCAAATTTTTTTACCCATTAGAAACAACTCTGATAATTTCCCTTGTAGCTAATTGCCATCATTAACTGAAATTTCAGGTACTTGATAGAATTAACTCGTTGGTGGAACCTTGTGGATCAATCACTATTAATGAATGCGGGATTGTTAATGGTGAACCTGTCACTGTTGTTCCGCACCCAAACTTTCGTTTGTTCCTGTCTGTAAATCCAAAATTTGGGGAAGTATCAAGGGCAATGAGGAATAGAGGCGTTGAGGTATTTATGATGGGGCCACATTGGCAGCTCAATGAGGAAGGCTCAAACTGTGAAGAGCTTGTGCTGAGAGGTGTGGAAAGGTTTCTTGCTCTGTCAGGTATTCCAGGTTATAAGCTGGTTACTTCCATGGCCAAAGCACATGTTCATGCATGGCTAAATGGTCAAAGCTTTGGTGTACGGATCACGTATCTTGAGCTTGAACAGTGGATTCACCTCTTCCAACTGCTGCTCATGAATGGTAATCAACTTCTGTGGAGCTTACAGCTAAGTTGGGAGCACATCTATCTCTCTTCGCTTGGGGTAAGTGATGGAAAAGAAGTTGTTGATTTTGTGCGTGATACATATTTGTCAGATGTTGAACTTTCTGGGCTTGATTCATTTATGGGTGGGGGTCTGTGCCTGCCTGGAGGATGGCCGAAGCCTTTCAACTTGAGAGACTTGACATGGTACTCAAGAGAAACAACAGTAAGACAGAATTGCATGTATCTGGAGTTCCTAGGAGCTCAGTATGCATCACATCTGTCTAAAATAAGCTACAATGTCAAATTGAGAGATAGGGAGTCTGCTAGGGAACCAAGAATTATTTACACGATTGATTCTTGGATGTTGAAAAAAGTCTTGTTTCCTAAAGCCTTAATTGGGTCAAGCTGTGCACCAAATGCAGCAAATTTTGAGAATGATTTGGCTACAAAAATGCTATTGTTTGCTGCCAACTGGACAATAGAACAGGCAACGGAAGAGGATATTCAACTCTATCTTGCGTGGTTTAGTTGGTTTGGTTCTAGACTGCAACAATACTGTCCGTTTTTGCTGTGTTTTCTCAATATGTTGAAGGATGAGTTTGAGCATCCAATTTGGAATCATATATCTAGATGTCGGAAAAATCTGAAATCCCTCTGCAGATTGGATCCAGATGCTGTTCCAATTCCTATATTGTCCTCCAAATTGATTGATGTAGCTGCATCAAATGACCAGTCAAAACCTTACAGTAAATCCCTCTTTGAGGCTCTCAACTCTATTGGTGTTCTTCGGCTTTCGTATCGGCAGTGGCTTGAAGAGAGCAACGACAACCACACCGATGTATCCTCTTTTACTCGGTTTTTGGATTCGCTTCGCGCATTGGAGAAAAAAATTCTTTGCGAAATTGTTGGAGCACCATCTTTTAGTGTGTTGATTCAGTTGTACACCGGAGTTATTGAAAAACATTCATTGTTTTGGTCTGGTTTGGTCTCTTCCTCAGATGAGTATCTATTGTTTTCCTTTTGGTCACTGATAAAAGCTATCAAAAAGATGCACGGTTTTTTTCCCGGAGAAGTTCAGGTGGTTCTGGTAAGGGTACCTTTCAGTTATGCCGGTTTCTTTTCATAAATTAACATAGTTGCTCAATAACATCATCGCCTTTCTTCTGTAGGAGGAAAGCAAAAATATTAACAATATAGTTTTGCATGGTCATCCTGAAAAGTCTATGCTATGGGCTTATGGAGGCCATCCTTCCTTGCCGGTATCTGCAGAGCTGTTCCATAAGCAGCAGGAGTTTCTACAGCTCTGCAGCACAGTTTGGCCATTGAAATCAGAATCAGATGAACAAGGTTTGATATCTAAAACGTTCAGTACTACACATTTGATTGTTTATTAGAGAAATTAAACTTTCTTCTGATAGCTGTTTTGTGTTGGCAGGAAATGATCATCTTACCAAAGCCATTACATTTTCTGGCCCTGAATTATGTTTGCTTGCCTTGGAAGGTAATTCTCCCTAATGAATATTGTTCATCTTTATTTCATTTTACGTATTTTTTCTAGTACAAGTAGACTGTAGTGTTCTGAATACTATCTATATAATTGATTGTATATGAAACTAAATCATAATTCTGACTGTATAGAATACTGAGAATAGTGATCGTTCGTTATCCTTTTGGGATTTTTGCCCTTTTCCCAAAAACCTCTTCTGTGAACAACTGGCTTAAGAAATTTTTAAAAGAGAAACCTACTGACAATTTCGAAGTTGTTGTATGATTGTAATGTGATTCACATTGTTGTATTTCTCTGCTTGTTCCCTCCAAAATGTGCAGGTCTTTGCATTTCATCATACATTGCTGACGAAGATGATGTAGATTATGTAGCTGCTGTTCAGCTCGATGAGATCTACCAGGTTTGCTTTCTTTATTCTGCTGTGTGTAATGAATGAGTGTCTCTATATGCTACTCACAATTTACCATCATCACCAGACGTTTTTGGAGAGGCTGAAACTAGAGAAGAAGAGACTGGAGGATAAAATGGGTTTCAGTGAGAATGATAATACTGAAAATAAAACTGCTTCCTGCTGCGTTTTCTGTCCAGAGATTGTGACTACAGGGTCTGGATTTAGCAGTTGGGTGAAGATATGTTTTATTGCTAGCAGTGAAAGTTGTTCTCTAGATGTAGAGTTACTTGCTGCCCTTCAGCACCTCTTGGTGGCACGACCTACCGAACATCAGGTTAGTAGATAGTTGGAATCTTTATTCTTTTTTTCTTTTTATAATCTAATGTCTTCTTTTTATTTGAAATTTAATGGATAAGATGTGCGTGTGATAACTACTCTATGTAAAGCCTGGTTAAAGTCATTTTCCTGTTTGCTTATCTAAGACTTACCTTTTTGAGTTGCAGGATCTTGTGGACATTCGAAAACTGCTCAAACCGGCTCTAGAATATTCTTTATCCTCAACAAGGCCTCCACAGACTCTTGTAGCTCATCAAAAACTCCTGTGGGCAATTGATGCACATGCCTCTGAACTAGGAGGTAAACAAAGTTTGTTCAATAATTTTTCTGTGTACTAAGGTGTACTGGCTGATTAACTTTGGCTATGTTGCAGTGGACACCAAAATTGCTGGTTTTGTTCTCGAGATGTGGTACTGGTGGCATTCTGTTTTGTGGAAAAATAGTCAAATTGGTCTCATGGTATTAGATAATAAACTAAATGATTTTTGTTCACATGCTACTTAGATTGCGCATTTAGTAACATCTTTCTTCATCTCATGTTCACAGGGCCTACAGAATATCTCAGACACTGGAAATTGTCAGATTCTGTCACCTTCTATGCTGATTCAGCCTGTGAAAACAGCTACCGTTTCTCAGATTCTGTAAGAGTTGTATCTCCTTAGAACATGTTAAACGCTCCATAGTTTTCCTTTCAGTTTGATATATCCAACATTCATATGCTACATTGATACATGAATACAATGCTCACACTCCAAGATAATCCACTTTTAATGTTTGATGATGAGACACTGTGGTTCTATTAACCATACAATGAAGCTCTTTTCATTAATGTTTTATGCAGGCAAAATGTATTTTCTGTTAAGGATTATCCTGTTCAATCAATGAAACTTCTTTCTGCTTCACGATATCTATGGAAAAGCTCACAACCTTATCAAGAAATGCCTGGTTCTCTAATGTCAATAGCACGTTCCCTTTTCCAACAGGTACTGAAATCGTGATAAATTTGAATAAATTATTTTGTTTCGTTGCCTACGGTTGCAATTGTTTATCTTGATGTTAACCTTTGTAGATGATATATACGCACCAAAAGTCATTTGAGTCAGAAACGTTTGTGGCAATTAAGTCTGCATTTCATGCAATTGAGAAAAAACAGAACAAGGTATGATTCTAAAAGTTATAATTTCTACTTTTCCTTCCTCTTTCTTGTAAAAAATATTGGAATCGTCTTAATACTTTATGTTCTTTGTGAAACATAGCTACATCTCCAAGTTTACGCTTCTCTTATCCTTTATGCAGATGGATGGCATACAGTATCTTATCTCACTAATTGGCTCATCAAACCATCATAAATTGAAATCCGTTACTCACTCATTTGTTGGACCATTAGCAAAACATCTCTATTCTGAGTGCTCATCAAATGGTAGTGTTAAATAGTTTATATATAACCTGTAGTAGTTTGAGTCGTGGCAAGGTAAACCTTCCTCGACGGTTGTAATTATTTTTTACAGCGTTATGCCCAACTTTTGTAGAATTCTACCCCAATCTTGGCTTGGCGTGGCTTTATCTTGGAGGACTACGCTTCCATCTTTTGAATAGCTTAGATGTTATAGATCCAGCCATGAAGACCACTTGCAAGCTGTTAGAGCTAGAAGAGAAAATCTCATCACTTGAGCTAAACATCAAGGTGCTTACTCTTTCGTATTGTGTAGATTCACAATAGCAGTTGCATATTGTCTGTCATTGTTTCATTGATTGGCCTATATTCATGTATTACCAGGTCCGGGGAGAATGTGGGTATCTGTCTGGATTGCTTTACTCTGGAAACAGTGACGAAAGAAGTGAACATACATTAGATAAGCTTAAAACTGAGCATAAAAGATTGCAAAGAAAGGTATGTAGCAGCTACTGTATGTTTCTCCCCTCTTCGCGGTGTGATGATTATTATGTGACCAATCCCAAATCCATGCTCACTTTTTTTTTTACCTTCTGAAACAGGTTATTTTTAGATCTGATCCAAAAAAGTACCAGGATTTACGAAGGGCGCTGGATGAATTTGCTGGATTTCTCACACGTCCCATAAGTCTGGTCAACGATATTGAAGTGCTTGATTGGAATCAGGTTGTTGAGCAGGTTTTCAACTGGCAGGTATGTTTATCTCATGACTTTCATTTGTATTCTTTTTGCTTTAGTCATCAAGCTTCATTTTCAAATATCAATTCCTTGGATTCTGCAGGAGACAGCAATATCTTTTATTGATCGGATGTCAAGTGACTATTCTGAATATGTCGATATAACTCAGCCAATTCAAGTTTCAGTGTACGAGATGAAATTGGGTTTATCACTCTTTGTATCTGGTGCTCTCTTGGGAAAACTTCTCAACAGATTTGACATAGACATGGTTGACTCAGTCATGGTAATTAAGCTTGTCTTTCAGAAATGTTTAAACATGTCATTTCGTGTAGTCAAACTTAATGACTTCATGCGTCTGGCAGGAAACAATTTATGCCTTAATGAGATTTCCAAGGGACTCGTCGATAGCTTCAACTACCTACATCGAATGTTTGCCACCTCTGCACCTTTCTCATGCTGCAGATTCTCGTGCTAAGTCCTTAGGTTTGGATGTTGGCTTGCTGCACAAACTTATCTCTGTTTCAAGTTCAGAAGATTCGAGAAAAGTAATGTTTCATGAATTTCCAATCTTTAGAGATGGTTTCCGTTCACATAATGAAAAAGATTGTCAGAATTTTGAAATCTATTCATGTATTCTTTATGTTTTGCTTATTTTTTGTAGGCCTCTGAGTTGCAGCTCAAAATTGCTCTTTATAAAAATCTGCATGCTCGTGTTTTACAATTTGTCGCAAATACTGGGCTACTGGATGAAGCTTCTTTTGAGGTAAAATATTTGCTTAGTTGTATGCATATGAATATGTTATCTAATGTCGCAAGAGTTCTATCTGCAGTTATTGGACAAAATATATGTTGAATTGGCGAGAATTTGGATGGAGATGAAGTTTCAAGCAAAAACAAAGGCTGACAATCTTCCTGGGCTGTACAAATTTCGTTCCCGGGACTTCAAAATTGAGAGTGTCATGGAAGTAGATATATCTGCCCTTGGCAAGTATTTCCCAAACGAAAGTTTCTCTGAGTGGCAAGAGTATCTGGCTGATGATGATATGAAGGATATGGTAAACCCTTCAGTCTTATGGTCTACTGGAACTTGTAAACTCTCATGTTTATTACTTATGATTTCTGTTTCCTCTCCACAGACACATATTGACCAGGATGAGGAAAATTTGGAGGATGATTGGGACTTGATACAGGAGCATTTGGATAGTATATATAGCACACATAATGAGTTATTTGGTTTCTGTGACCTCTCTGAAAAGGTATTTGAACCAACCACTTCTATATTCAAATCTGCAATTGTTGCATCTCGCAATTCTCTTGTATCTAACAAGACAATATATTCTATTCAGTCTGGAAGATTCTGTATTACTGACTGTAGAAGACTGGATTCGTTTACTGATTCCTATGAACTTGGAGTCAGTATGATCAAAGGTGATCAGACACTATTTCTCTCTATGGTTTAACGTGATTAAATTCATTTTATTAATTCTATTACTGGGTTATCTCATGATTCCAGGGCTAAGGGGTTTATTTACATCGAGCTTGGATGCAAAACTTGTTCCAGAACACCTGCTTCGTCTTTGCTTGGAAAACAAAAAAGCCTTCACCTCAAACAATCAGTCTGCCAGTAAATATAACTTTTACAAGGTCTGCGAATGCTTTTACTTCCTGAAGAAGTTTATCTGCTCTTAGTTTAGGTCTGTCCGCCTTTGTTCTGACAGTTTCTTTTATAGGATTTGGATGGTCCTGAGCTGGGGAAAATGGTCAAGTTTCTCACTGCACTTCAACGAAGAATTAATTCTCTATTGCAAGAACGTGAGGACCATCCTGGTCTTCAGAAACTTTCTAGTGTTCTTCAGATGCTCTTGGATATTCCCTCCAGTACTCCTCTAGCAAAGGTATTTATATACTCAAATCGTTTACAAAAGATAATGTATCAGTCACTAACAAAGCAACTCTTTGGTAACAATGTTATGGAAAGTAGTAATGCAGTGGTAACTTATACCCACAGAATAAATTTCTTTGCATAGCCTCTCGTCATTATTTACTAAACCATTGCTTTCTTGTTTGTCATTTTTTGTGAAGGCTCTTTCAGGATTGCAATTTCTGCTCTGCAAGGTTCACAAGTTACAGGAAGAGGGATGTAAATTGCCCATCTCTGGTATTAATTTTAAATCTCCTTACAATGAGTTGATTATGGACTCTTCTCAGTCATACCATTTGTTTTTTTCCATTATTTATTATATTTTCAGGTGTCACATTGTGTTCTTTTTTTTAACATCGTACAGATCTCTTGGAGCCGATTATTTCCCTAGCAAGCTCTTGGCAGAAGGTGGAATTTGAGCGCTGGCCTACTTTGCTTGATGAGGTTCAGGATCAGTATGAACTAAACGCTAGGAAGGTTGGTAAAGTTAGAAAATTTTATTTTATGAACAAAAATAATGTTAAGGGTAACACTTGTTTTTTCTTGTTGCAGTTGTGGCTTCCTTTGTTTTCAGTTCTGTTTCAGAAGGATGGTGTTGAAATTTCAGAAGATGAAAACGAGTCCATTTCACAAAGGTGTGCACCAAACAAATGATGTGGTGCTTACATTTGCATTCTTGCATGTATTCGGTCATCTAACAGATATTTTTGTTGCAGTTTGGTGGAGTTCATTGAATCGTCAAATGTTGGTGAATTTAGGAGACGTCTTCAGCTTCTCTTTTGTTTCCTTCTTCAATTAATTATGGGTAGCTCGTTGGGGATATATTCAAGGTTAGCTGCGTATGAATTATCGCCTGATTTTTTCTTTTCTTCTTTCCTCATCGGTATTATTCTTGAAGGATTTAAAGGGGCTTCAGCATTATTTACTTGAGTCCTCACAATTGGTTGCTCCTCCGCTGTTTTTACAGTTGACTTCTAACTTGACTGTCTTTGTTTTTTGCCATTAACTCGCGCTTTTACGTTGACAGTGATTCACACAAGAGGAAGGTGGAAATTTGCTACAATATTTTCGGATTCTATATACAATTCCTACCGATGTAAGCTCCTTTCCATTTCTGGCTTGAGGTTATTAGTTCAAGATTATTTTGGCCAGGGTAGTGTTCTCAATTTAAATTTCTCTTACCAGTGTAATGGAGCAGTTAGATTTGAATAGAAAAAATGTTGAAACTGAGTTAAAGGAGGTTCTAAAACTTTGTCGGTGGGAGAGGCCAGATAATTATTTGTACAATGAGACCACTAAAAGAACCAGGCAGAAGGTCAAGAAACTGATACACAAGTTTACGGTAAGTTATTGGTTCTTCATTTTCTGGGGGTTATTATATAAACAGACGACATTCAATTATATATGTTTCCTTATATTAGTTGAAATGATGGGACCTTATTAAAAAGTTTTCTAAATGGTATCTTTTGTTGAGCAGGACATGCTGCGGCTCCCTGTAATGCTTGTTAGGCCAGACCTAACGAAGGAACGAACTCAATTTCTCCCTCTACTAGATCCAGATCTTATGAATGGAGCATCCGACATGAGGATCGAGGGCCTAGTTAGTGCTTTAGATGCAGAGCAATTGAATGACAGGTATACATTTGCATCATGTACCTTTCTGCATGCATTGTTAGAAGTTTATGGAAGCTGAACCCTCCATCATTTATGCTTTAAATTTTTCTTGGTAGGTCTTCATGGTATGCAGTATGGTGGAATAAATTAAAGGAATCGGTAGGACGCTTTCACCAAGAAATGCACTTCAAAACATTGCTGATGGGTGAAGGTTCGTTTGTACACTAGCTCCATTCACTCTTGGTTCTATTTGGTGATTTTCCTTTATTTTTGGGGAATCTGCATATTCTTAAGCTTGCATAATATATTTGCAGAGCATCAGTATTCGTCCCCTGTCTATCAGGGTGATTGGAAAAATTTGTGGAGTACAGTTGCTAGGATTGGTGAAACCATAGCTGGCTGTTCAGATCTATGGAGAAACAGTGATAGAGATGTTGCAAAGAAGAGGGCCCTGTTTGAACTTCTCAAGTTATTAGAAAGTAGTGGTTTGCAGAAACACAAGTTTGAAAATGTAGAGGTAATATACTTTTGCTTGTCGATATTTCTGTGTATGTTTCTTCTAGTCATGCTCTATTTATTGATCATCTATATTCTCTGATGGTCTTCTTTTATAGATGTCAAACCACTTTAAAGGGTTGCTTTATCAGCCAGCATACGATCCAAAGCATCTGTTGCTGCTAACACATACCGAAAGTAGCATGCATCCTTCCAAGGCTGTAGAAGATCAAAACAAGGAAAATTCACTAGTTGAGTGGAGAGTGGCAAATGAGTTTTACTTTAAGAGCTTGGCTTCAGTGCAGCTCATGTTAAATATTGACCGAAAACACTCAGATGTAACAGCTGAGCAGGTAGACTTTGGAGCTTGTAATTTATATCTGGGCTTCATTGAGTCTCAGTTTTAAACCAGTTGTTTCACTAAATATCCTATGTTAACAGGTTAAGCGGGCAATCTCATTTCTCAACCATCTTGTGGAAATACAACGGCAGCAAAGGAAATCTGCTTATGCCTTTACCGAACTTTTAAACCGCTTTCGCCAATGTGTTTTATCTCTAGCGAGATTACTGGGTGACTCAATTGGTGTGGACAAAAAGGATGATTCTGTGTTCAGTTTCCCCCAAAATCAACATGCTATCTTCAATTGCTTGTGGCTACAGAAGGTATTTCAGCTTTCTAACTTGAATGATGTGCCCTGAATGTCTGTTGCAACAACACTGGATTAAGCTTTTACATTTTTTTTGTGATATGGCAGAAACTCTTTGATAACATCACTGCAATGCTTCTTGAGGAGTCGACCTTACTGAGAACAGTTGGAAGTACACACTTGGATTCCTGTCAAGCTGTGAAAACCTCATCACGGAGTTTGCTCAGCTTTATTGAAAAACTAATTCCCATCGCTCAAAATTCCAAGGTGCAGTATCCTTGGGCTTCTTTTAAATCTTTCTGGTCTGTTATTTCTTGCAAGAGTCTGAATGTGTTGTTATCATCAGGCTTCGCTGGATAGGCTTCTACTTGATTGCAACGGTTTTATCATCACACCAAGTAGCTGTCTTAAGCAGTTTGTCACTCAGCATATGGTTCAGATGCTACGCCAGAACTTTGATCAACTTACGGACCTTGAGAATCAAATTTCAAGTTTTTGTGAAGACAATGAGAAAAGCTATGCTAGAGACGTTCTTCTCAGTCAATTTTCCCCTGTGTTTAAAGAGGTATTTATTCAGCCTTAGTGGATTATTTTTACCTTTTTCCAGATGCAAACCTAGCAAATAAATTGTGTTTAGGGTTCTTAGAGTCATATTTATGAAATGTATTTAATGCAGGGGAAATTGCTGGCTGAAAATCTGAACTGTTTACTTAACGTAAGAGACCAGTCAACTGGAATGGAACCCAAGGAACGACTTTTTCTTGAAGAAAATCTTGCAAGTATATTTTCAAATGTTAAGGATGTGATTGGAAAGCTTTGTTCTTATAAAGATGGAAGTGTTTCTCAAGAAGAGGAAATGAATATTACTACATGGGATGGTCTGTTTAAGAAGGCAGAAAATGACTTGAACCTTGATAACCTGTGTAAACTGCTGTCCGAATCATTTGGTTCCATCGTAAGTTGGATTGTCTTTTGAAGTATGCGAATGCTATTTTGCCTTTTATTTTCAAGCTTATGTTGAACTGAGGCTGTTATCTTCACAGGAACAACTGTTGAACTCTTCAGGCGTCCTTTCAGCTGGTGTTGGAGACCAGTTGAAGCAACTTCAAGCATTTTTGGATCTTTTATTGAGCTTTGGAGACTGTTACCTCAAAGAGTTTTTGGCGATAAGCAAAACGGTATGTGTTTATCTTATGTTGTTCTTTCAAAGTCATTCGGGACAATCGTCTCTCTAACCTGATCCTGTTAATTGATATATTTTCTTTCAACTACCTCCTTAATGTCAAGTATGTTAGTTAGTGTGCAGAGATCTCGGCATTTACTCACCTTCTGCTAATTGATTCCAATAAGACAACAACATCAATGCTTTTGGTCTGTAGGTGTCACTGATAACCCATGTCCTTGCAAGTGTTCTTGCCGATCTATTTACAAAAGGATTTGGCATCTCCAAAAATGATGAAGATGATGGCTCTAAAGCTGAAAAATCGGAAACTGCAGAAGGTACTGGTATGGGAGATGGTGTGGGGGCAAAAGATGTAAGTGACCAAATAGAAGATGAAGATCAACTGCATGGCACAGATAAGAAGGTTTATATCGCCTCTTTCCTTATTGCCTGCCACTCATCCTGAATGAATTTTGCATGGGGTTATACCAATTAAGTTCTCTTCTGTTTTCTTTGCAGGAAGAGGAAGAGAAAGAGCAAGATGATGTGCTGGGTAAAAACAAAGGCATTGAGATGAGTGACGAATTTGATGGCAAAGAATACAGCGTTAGTGAGGATGAAGAAGAAGACAAGGAAGATGAAGAAAGTGAGGATGAGCAGTTGGATTCGGCAATAGGAGATGCGGGATCTGATGCCGAAAAAGCTGATGAAAAGCCATGGAACAAGGATGAAGAAGATGGGGAAGAAAATATGAATGAGAAGAATGAATCTGGACCATCTATAGTCGACAAGGACACAAGATCAAGGGAGCTAAGAGCTAAGGATGATGGTGTTGACACTGCCGATGAGCCTGAGGAGTCCAATACTTCTGACAAACCGGAAGAAGGAAACGATGAGAATGTAGATCAGGATGATTTTGGTGATACAGAAAATCTAGAAGAAAAAATCCAGACCAAGGAAGAAGCACTTGCTGGACTAACTCCTGATGTCGATAATGAACAAATTGATGATGACATGGAGATTGACAAAACAGAGGAGGTCGAAAAGGAAGATGCAGATCAGCAGGAAGAACCTTGTCCAGAAGATCAAAAGCATCCTGAAGAAGGTGAAAATGATCAAGATGAAACTCAAGAGCCTGCTGAGGAAAATATGGAGGCTGAGGCTGAAGATAGGTGTGGATCACCCCAAAAAGAAGAACCTGGAAATGATCATGAACAGAAACCAGAAACGGAACCAATAGAAGGAAAAGAAGTTATGTCAGAAGACATGATGAAACCGAACTTCCGTAATGATAATATTTCTGGCGTAGAGTCTGGTTCACAAAATCCCCATGGATCTAATGTGTTGGGTGCAGGAAGTACAGCACCACAAGAAAATTTGTCTGCTACTGATGTTACGGATGTACTCACGGATTCAATGGATCTGCCTTCGAGTAATAATACTGAGATGAACCTCATGATGACCAACCTGGCCAATGGTGAGACATTGACAGACAACATACCAAAGATGGAATTACCACAAAACCAGTCATCTACTGCTCAACAAACCAAGGTGAATCCTTATAGGAACGTTGGTGATGCATTGAAGGAGTGGAAAGAAAGAGTTAGAATCTCCTCAGACCTTGGAGAAAAGCAAGAGGCTGAAAATGAGATGGAAGACCCTGATGCTAGTGAATATGGATATGCTTCTCAGTTTGATGCAGGAACTTCCCAAGCTCTAGGACCTGCGTTGCCTGAGCAAGTGAACACAGATATGAGAGAAGGGCAATCTGAAGAAGAAAAACTCGCAGGTAATCAGGACGATGTCTCTCCAATGGATATTGATGACTTGAACCCCGAAAACAAACCTGCTGTCCAATCCAAACCATCGATCAGTAATAGCATCGCTGAACAGGTCCAAGAACCAGATACAGACAGGACCCACCAAGAGAATTCTCCTATTCATAATTTTGGTGATGGTAACAGCAGGATGGACTCTATGGTCTCTGTCGACAATACTTTCTTGGGGGAAGATGTATGTAATCTGGACCGGATGCAAGTGACTGATAATGACTCGGAAAGCAATCAGGATAATCAGGAAGATCCAGATGCCAAAAGTAATGCTGTTGTTCTTTGGAGGAGATGTGAATTGCTTACTGCAAAACCCTCTCAGGAGCTGGCTGAGCAACTACGGCTTATCTTAGAACCCACGCTTGCTAGCAAGCTCAGTGGTGACTACAGAACAGGTAAAAGGATCAACATGAAGAAGGTTATTCCGTACATAGCAAGTCACTATCGGAAAGATAAAATTTGGTTGAGGAGGACAAAACCAAACAAGCGTGATTATCAAGTAGTTATTGCTGTGGATGATTCCCGTAGCATGTCAGAAAGTGGATGTGGTGATTTTGCAATTAGAGCTTTGGCAACTGTATGTCGAGCTATGTCACAGCTTGAGATGGGAAGTTTGGCTGTAGCAAGTTTCGGGAAGCAAGGGAAAATAAAGATGTTACATGATTTTGGTCAGTCTTTCACCACAGAATCCGGCATTAAGGTTAGTGGCCTCAAATCTTTCATTTTCCATGTGTTGCACTGTGGATTGTCTTCTTATTGCTTACAGAACACCTCTTTTCTCGTTTCCGTGATGCAGATGATCTCAAACTTGACATTTAAACAAGAAAATCTCATTGAAGATCAACCAGTCGTCAATCTACTGAGAAACATGAATGAAATGCTAGAGAATTTGGCCAGCACAAGAAGACAGTCTTACGGGAGCAACCCGCTTCAACAACTTGTACTAATCATCGGCGATGGAAAGTTCCATGAGCGAGAGAAATTGAAACGATCTGTCAGAAGCTTTCTCCAGCAGAAACGTATGGTGGTATATCTTCTTCTCGATGACTCAGAGCAATCTGTTCTGGATTTAGCGGTATGTCCAATTCTATTACTTCCCTACACATTCATAAGATTGAAATTAGTAGTTGTCATGGTGCTAAAAACTGCTTCTTCTTCTTCTTCTTTTTTCCTCTAATCAGGACTATGTATATGATGGTGAAAGAAGACCCTATAAGAAAATGAATTACTTGGATTCCTTCCCCTTCCCATACTACATTGTGCTAAGAGACATCGAAGCCTTACCCAGAACACTTGGTGATGTGTTGAGACAGGTAACTTTTCACTATCCATTCTCTGTTTTCTTTTTTTACCTTGTGAGGAAAAGAAAAAAACATTGTCAAAGACTTAAAAATCATACAACTTTTGTTTTTGTTTTTGCAGTGGTTCGAGCTGATGCAAAACTCGCGGGACTGAACACTTGTTGGAAGAGAAAGGGTCGAGGCCTATTAGACGTATAGCTTAGCTTAGTTTGTGAACTAGACTTGTATACATTATATGCAATAACTTTAGTTAATCACATCAGACCACAAATGCTGTTATTGCTACAACAATATATATATGAAGAAAGACCCTTTTCTCCTCTCTTTCGAATTCTCACCACTGTTATTACTCTAAAACTGGACTTGAAAACATGTTTAAGTACACATGCTACTTAAAACATGTTTTCAAGTGTGTTAAAAACTGTGGACTAGTTTTCTATACAACCACCGCTGGATTTAACTTATCCTAATTTACGTAAATGTATAGCTCGTTATAAGTAAAACAAAAAGTCGAATATTTATTACTTATCCTAATTATTCCTCCCATTTTCATCACTTTCTTTTTTCTTTTGACCCGAAGAAGCAAATTCTCGTAATAATTTAAGATATAATACTTTCTTCTTTTTTTTTTTGATAGGATTAAGATATAATACTTAGTCACATGAATCACTTTTTTGGGTCATCGACCCTTTAATCATTTAACAGAGTGTACTATATATGACTCTTCTTCTATGTACTTTCCGTCACAAATTTCAAAAATCAGTGGTGGATTAAGAACAAACTTAGTCACTATAGGGGGGCAATGTAAATGTTGTTACGGGTGATTAATTGTGCTACAAGTTTTTTCATCACTTAAAATACGTTTAATTGTAAATTTATAATTTAATGGAGTCAATCGCATCTTGTTTTAGTGGCTTTACCAATATACTGTATAGTGATTTGTGTTAATATCCAAATTCAAATTCCGTATGTTACATGTTGACAACAAAAGGTAACACAAAAATATTCATAAAATATCAAGAAGGCAAATTTATTAGCAATATAATAGAAAAAACTTAGTCGTTCTTGATTAGTTTCTTGGATCCGAAAAAAATATAACAGCTAAAAGTTAAGTCTATGAAAACTGTCGGCAAACTATGTAATGTAGTATTAGAAGCATTAGTCGGTTTAAGTTTAAAATTTTATTGATTAGAGTATGGTTGTTGGTACATTAGTTGGAGGCATAAAGTACTTACCGTCTAATTTTATCATGGCAAAGAAAAGAGAATGATCATTTGTTGACTTGACCAAACAAAATGGGTATGTATTGATAACAAAGAAAATTATGAGGTCTCTTTTGAAACTTAATAATAATATGGGGATTGATTGTTCTACAAGTTTCCACTTTTTTACATGGCATGCGATGGGATTGTGTTGCACGTTGTAGAGAAAGATTGTTGAGTCTCATTTTGAATTTGAAATAAGGTTTTGTGATCATCTTTGTGGATTCTGCAATCTTTGACTAAATAATACTAATTATATATATATATATTACTTACATTCTGATCTTTTAATGGAAATTGGAATCTTGACGTATCTAATCTAACGATATCTATTCGGATGTCACTCACTATGAGAATGATCGGCTAGATTCTTTATTAGATATCCATTTGATAAATTTTAGTCTAGTGACATTTTCGAATAGTAGTATCTTGAAATATATTTTGGTTGTATTAGGAAGTTTCCAGATAGAATTCTCACACACTTACTTGTTCACATGATGAGTTACTTAACATGAGAAAAAAGATTTTAATGTATATAGGTTATGATCGATAATACTAAACTAGAAAAAAATTATGAACATTATGCAGTCATTAGGAAAAATTATACTAATTAACCAAAATAAAATATGAACTTTTGAAATTAGCAAAATTACCGCACAAATCTTAATTTTAGAAATAATTTATCTAATTTGAACCATAGTTTACCCTGTTTCATATGAAGAATGAATTAGCCTTCAAACTATTTTGTTTTTATCGATATTAGCCTTCAAACTATTTTGTTATTATCGATATTAGCCTTCAAAACATTTTCCTTTTTAGTTGTTATAACATCTATAATCGATATTTCCTTCAAATCATTTTTTTCTTTGTTAGTAAACATCTATAAGACAATTACAAGACATCTACCATGATCGAAATTCAGCTAACGAGTTACTAAAATTTAGGTATCATATTACACAACCGTCACCAAGCCTGTTTGTCTAGAATGTCCGTTTAGACAAACGGTCATCCAAATCATTTTTTACAACACTAGTTAGTATATAGCACGAATTAAGCTCAATATGTAAATTCAAAGTGAAGGAAACATCCCTGATTCAAGGGTTGTGTCATTTCTTCATTATTTATAAACGTGTACAATAAATTCCTTCATATAACCGGTTGTTACGGAATGACTTTGTCACCAAACATGTTCTTCAAAGGAGAAAGTGACGATAAAAGTAAATAAAACAGTGAAGATAATCTTTGAAAGAATATTCAGATATGTTTATCTTATTTCTTTTTAATTTTTTTAGTGGATTGTAGAAATCTGGGCAAGCTAGTTTTCTCAAGATTATTATGATGTGTATAAGTTTTCTTTGCTTTTCATATTCATTTCCCAAGATACGCAATCTTTACCCATCACTGCTTTTGCTTTTCTAATTGACGGCAAATCTTCTTTCTAATCATAAAAGTATATAAATCGACATATATGTAACAATATCAATTCTTTAGAACAAATTAATATTTTTAAACATTAAGTATTAGATTATATTAAAACATCTTAATTAAGTTATAACATCAATACTATCAATTACAAATTACTGGAGGACAAGTTAAAAATGCTATTAGTAAGAAAATCTATATAAAAGAGAGCTCGAATGAAAAAGATTTTGTTTTTCAAATGTCATTTTTATTATATTTAAACGTTGTTTTGGAACAAGAGTCACGAATTACAGTTTTCTTTTAGCTACTCGATCTACACTTTGTTTATCTTTTCTTTTTGTAAATATCATTACGACTATCCAGAAATACCAGTTCCGGCACCAATTGTCTGTGAAAAATTGGCATAGGTGTAACTTAGTTGATTTATGCTTACTCAACACATCCATTAGCGAGTGGCAATCACCTTCTAAACCCCACGTTGATTGGACTGTTTAATAGAACCGTTTCAAATTATATATATATACCAAGTTCAAAATATTTTTGAGAGACAAATTTAAATATGTGATCAAATAGTTTCTAAAATATTATAGGTTCTAGTTTATATGTATACAAATTTTTATTTTCTACTCTGGACTATGTTCGGCTACTCACTTGTACATGGTGTAAGACGGTCATTGTACATTCCGCTTTCTTCGGGAGAGCATCGATCCTGATCCGTCATCTTTCCACAATGCCCAAGCCGGCCAAATTCATTCTAAATAAGTCATCCAAGTCGATTTCAATCACACAAGTGGATAAGCATGTAAAATATAAATCTGGTTATTGCCAATAATATGGAAAAGAATGAAATTTTGGATCTGACTCAGATACATTTTGCAAGAATAAAGTTACGCATTTTTTGAAAGGCAAAAGCGATTTAAATAGTTATCTAACGCTGTACCCACACACAAAAAAAAAAGTAACTATCGGACAAAATCAAATAGTATATCGTACCATAAATGATTGACCCGATCTTATTTTCTTGATAGTATAAATATTTGTAATGCATCGTGTGAACCGCAAATTTTGTCCCCAACGTTTTTAGTGGATAAATATTTAGTGCAATTTCTCATATTTATAAGTTGCAATTGATGATCATATTTCTACATAAATAATATTTCCAGCTATATGCTATATCCTCGTTACTAAAATATATGTAGATATATATGTATAATTCGTTATTTTAAAAAAATCTACTACTCTCTCAACTATACTCTCTTTACAAGAAAATCTAATTTTAAATAAAATGAATGTATTTTATCAAAAAAAAAAAAAATGAATGTATTAAATTTCACAGTTTTCTAGATAACAACTAACTTTCACCAATCATACTTATAGAGTATTAATTTCATTGAAACACACAAAATTCGAAGGATTACTTACAGCTGAAATCATAAATCATAAACTAGAAAGTGTAACACTAGCCACAATATCTGTTATAATAATAATAATTGAATTTAGGATCTGCCATTAGTCGACGAATTTTCTTCTCCGTACGTGTTTTTCTATAATAAAAATGAAGTCCCGGAAAAAAAATACAAATAAATAAGTCTTTGTTTTTAAAAAGTTGAAAACATTTTTGAGAAAGTAAATGATTAAATAAAATAAAATAACAAGAATGAATTAATACCGTTTTAACTCCACTGCAGCCTCTGCAGCACTATAAATAGATGCTTTGGTACTCAACAATGTTGTTCCGTATCTCTTACCAAACAATCTCTTTCTCTCTTTCTCAAAATCTTGTTTATTTTTTTAATAAAACAAAGAAATTAAAGATGATGGTTACATTAGTACTAAAGTATGTCCTCGTGATAGTCATGACCTTGATATTGAGAGTCCTATACGACTCCATTTGTTGCTACTTCCTCACACCAAGACGCATCAAGAAGTTTATGGAACGTCAAGGCATCACCGGCCCTAAACCCCGTCTCCTTACCGGAAACATCATCGATATCTCCAAAATGCTCTCTCAATCCGCTTCTAACGACTGCTCCTCCATCCACCATAACATCGTCCCACGCCTTCTTCCTCATTATGTCTCTTGGTCCAAACAATACGGTATGCACCATTAACGCTCGTTCAACGTTTTTGGATGTCCGTCTATAATTTAGAAAACGTCTTTTTTTATGCTATTATGTTACCTGAAAAATAAAATTTAATATTTTTTCCCCAAATATTAACGTTCAAACATGAAGCGGATAATTATAGTTTCCTTTGCTTATGCTTTGGACCGGACATGCCTACAATGCATTTTCTATTGGATTACACATCTACGCAATCGAAAATGACTGAAATGCCCTCTTGTAGGAAAGAGATTTATAGTGTGGAACGGGACAGAACCGAGGCTATGTCTAACGGAGACGGAGATGATTAAGGAATTGCTAACGAAGCACAATCCGGTCACCGGAAAATCGTGGCTGCAACAACAAGGAACTAAAGGGTTTATAGGGCGGGGGCTCCTCATGGCCAACGGCGAGGCTTGGCACCACCAACGCCACATGGCGGCTCCGGCGTTCACACGTGATAGGCTCAAAGGATACGCGAAGCATATGGTGGAGTGCACGAAGATGATGGCTGAGAGGCTGAGAAAGGAGGTTGGGG